ATACACCGACAATTGTACAAATATATTGGTGACCAGTGTACATGTGACATCTATAAAGCCTTTTAGAAAAGAGTTAGAAATGAATAGAGCAATCTGTGACCAATGGTGATCTAATGGATATACATGTACATGTATGTATGGCGGAGAGGAAAATGTAGAGGGAAACAGAGCAAGCCAAAGCAGTTCTCTCTAAGTACCTATCAGTTGGTAGCAACAAAGAGGATCTTGTGGCATTCTTTGGTGGTGAAGTGGCAGCTCCCGGACAACCTGAACAAGGTGCCCCCAGGCAAGGAACTGGTTGTCACTGCGGGCCAAGAGTGCATAATAATTATTGTCAAGTCGGCTGGTGCAAGCATGGCGTCTACTGCTGTGGAGGAGTTGCTGTTAACCCAGGAAGAGGCTGACACCAGACTGCTCCTTCATGCAAGGCATGCAGCTGTCAGTGGGTATGAGACCGTTCTGATAAGAACACGAGATACCGATGTTGCCATCATTGCTTGTTCTGTTAGCCATGTTATCCCGTGTACGTTGCTGGTGGAGGTTGGTGCAGGTTGGTGCCCCCCCTTTTTTTTTCTAAGGCCACAGCTTCCAATCATGACATGCAAAGCAGCGGTGCAGCATCGCAGGCATGAATCGTGGACGTGGTGACGGGGTTTGATATGCTCCACCGACCTAGGGTCTCGGCTTCACTGCACAGCAAACGCGTCGAAAGAAAACGGGGGCTAATAATTATCGGGAGATGGGGGGGGGGGAGAAGAAGAGAAGAAGGAGAGAGAGAGAGAGAGAGAGAGAGAGAGAACGAGAGAGCGAGAGCGAGAGAGAGAGAGAGAGAGAGAGAGAGAGAGAGAGAGAGATAGAGAGAGAGAGAGAGAGAGAGAGAGAGAGAGAGCTGGTAGATAGAAGAGCACAGTGCTCTTGGTGATGGGGACTGCGAAGGATAGCAGGTTCTGGGACATGTGCATGGGAATCAGAATATTGGTGATGATGGCAGCAGGGTTATTAGGTAAGCAGCTGAACACTAATAAGAACAGGGAAAGCTTTGGTGAACCGATTCAAAGTGCATCAGTAGCAGAGAGCCAGTCCTGAGCAAGAATGTGACGGTACACCTTTTTCAGCTTTGCATGTGGGGCTGGGCGGGTGGGTGGTGGAACAGGTCTGGTGGCACGGCATTCCATGTTGCAACGGTGCAAGCAGGGAATCCTTGGAGACAGCTATTCCGGGTGTTGGCAGGCAGGCCAGTTGTCATCTGGTATGGATGGGAATCCTGCAGCTGGAGAGACTGACGGGTAGGTCTAGTCTCGGGGGCACGGTGAGTGGCTGGTTTGGGCAGCATCTGCTTCAGAGGGCTGGATGCATCTAGATAGCAGAGCTTGTAGGTATAGGCAAGTGCAGCTACCAGGCGACGGAGTGCCAGGCTAGGAAGCCAAGTACCTGCTCCGATGATGTAGAGGGCCCTTCGCTGGATCTGGTCCAGCTTCTTAAGATGGGACGAGGGTGAGCCCATCCACACTAAGGGGCAATACTCGAGTGTGGGTCGCACAAAGCCGTTGTAGACGCGTTGGCGGCTCTCGGCGACCAGAATGGGAGACGCTCGCTTCAGGAAGCCAATCCGCTGGTTAGCACGGGAAGCTAGGGAGCGGAGGTGGAAGGAGTAGCTCAGGGTGTCGTCAAAGGTGACTCCCAGGAGTTTCAGCTGACTCTCTTCACTGACCGGTGTGCCGTCAAATGTTGCTCGAGGGAGCTCCCAGGGCTGGCGATGGTGGCCTATAGACATAGCCTGCGTCTTGGAGGGCTCAAATTTGATCCTCCACTTATGTCCCCAACGGGAAAACGCATCAATGCCCTGCTGGAGGAGCTCGGAGCCACAATCAATGTCAGCTCTTGATGTGAGGCAGTGGAAGAGAGTTCCTGGGTTAACAGCAACTCCTCCACAGCAGTAAACGCCATGCTTGCACCAGCCGACTTGACAATTGTGACTCTTGGCCCGCAGTGACAACCAGTTCCTTGCCTGGGTTACCTTGTCAGGTTGTCCGGGAGCTGCCACTTCACCACCAAAGAATGCCACAAGCTCTTCTTTGTTGCTACCAACTGATAGGTACTTAGAGAACTTCTTTGGCGTGCTCTATTTCCCTCTACATTTTCCTCTTCGCCATACATACATACATGTACATGTACACACTAGTCAGAACAACAGATGGCTTGATCAGTCGCAACAAAGTTTCGTGCCATCTCAGGCATGTACATGTACATGTACATGTATATCCATTAGATCACCATTGGTCACAGACTACTCTATTCATTTCTAACTCTTTTCTAAAAGGCTTTATAGATGTCACATGTACACTGGTCACCAATATATTTGTACAGTTGTCGGTGTATGCATGCATATTAATTACGTATGTACAGTAATGTATAGTTGCAGTAGATCCGATTTTATAATTCACCTTTGAGGCCCTGAAGTTTATTTGTTTTCAGTCAAACTTGGCCAACCAGTCATACGTATTGGATATGTTTATATCCAGCAGGAATTTTGTCAAAATATCGCATAGTTCTCCTGTATATTTGAATTAACTGATGTGTTGCCATGGCAACCATCATCAATTCTTTCCACCTTAATTGTATGACCTTCCCGATGGAAATTTTGATTGAATGGCATACCATCTTGCAGCATTTTGAAGGTACTTGACACTCAAATCGACAAAACTTGGTGCCCTCTTACCCGGAACGAAACTTCAAAAATAATCCCCCTGGCCCCCAGACTATGAAGCGTGCCGAGTCTGGCGACTCGTTTTGGACTCCGGTCTGTACGGTAAGTTCACCAGGTTGCACTCCGACAGTTGCAGTTGTGCTTGTTCTGGTGTGCGCGGTTCGCTTGGCGTATGTCGTTCCTGTCCTGTGGCGAGTTTGCAATCTGCAGCGATGTGTCCCGGTTGGGAGCATTTACGACAGGTTGCAGGCTGGCCATCGTAGCGTACACGAAACAATTAAAATTAGTTGTTCGGAGATGTTTTATTTATTTATTTATTTATTTATTTATTTATTTATTTATTTATTTATTCACAATCACGTGGCACTAGCCAATGAAATGGTGATGTGGGCGATAGCCAGCCATGGCGGTAATAGAGCTAGAGGGGAGAAAGAAAAAGAATGAAAGGGGAACTGAAAAGCAAGAGAAGCTAGGGCAGGGCTGGATGTCAACTAGTATGTTGCATTCTGCAGTAGCTGTGTGAATGTATTGTAACATGGGCAGGATTTTAGATGTTGTGGGAGGTGAGACCAATGGCGGTAAGCAAGGAAGAGAGGAGATGTTTGCATAGAGGCAGACCGCGCAATAGGGAAGCGGAGAGAGTTTCTGGTGCGCATGTCCTGAGATTGAGCAAACCAGCTTAGGCAGGAGAGAGCATGAAGAGGAGCAATGCCCAGCTTAATTTTATGAATTGTCTGGCATGCCAAAAATCGCACACGGACCGAGAGCGGCACAGCAGAAGCAAGGCGGTATAAGTCTGCGCTTGGAGTCAGGCGAGGAAGCCGAAATAATATTTTCAAAAGACGCCTATGCATAACTTTGAGTCGAGCAATCAGTGTTTTAGAAATGCCAGCCCAAATTATGCAGCGGTAATCAAAAATAGGCAGAATGTAAGATGTGTAGATAACATGGCGACAGTCGGTGTGGAGGTGGGTGATGTGTGATGAGAGAAATCCCATTACTGAGCTAACACGGCAGTCTAAATTTTCGATCTGGGATTTCCAGGTTAAGTGTTGGTCAATAATGACGCCAAGATGCTTGTGTTTTTCAACGATGCAGAGCGGGGTTGTGGTGCCTGGAAAGGTGAAGGGACTGGTTACTAATGAAGATAGGTCACAGGAACAACTGGGGGGGGGGGGATACACATTACAGCAGTTTTCGAAGAGTTGGGCTGCAATTTCCATTTTTCCATCCGATGAATAACGCCATCTATGTTGGACTGTAACTTGGCACTAGCCTCGGGGAGAGTGGGTGCTGTCACAAGTAGTGCTGTATCATCAGCATAATGTGATGTGTGATCCATTTCTGCCAGAAGGACAGCATTATTCGTTTGAACTTGTTTTAGTAGCAACTTGTTCTGTCTGTTTGGCTCTGGTTGGCCATGGTGTCATATCTTGTGTCACAGTATACTAGTAGTCCTTACAAGTTCGTTAAGTGCTTTCGCAGTTTTTCCTGTTATTACCTTAGTGCTAGGATTATCATTTTCATAGGTGTTGTTTCTTCTCACTCCATTTCTCTTTATTAGTATCTTTCTGGATTGTTTTTCATCAGTCCAACGTAGCTTCCTGAGGAGTGTTGTGCGAAAACTAGTTCGAAGTACAATTTTTTGTTCATCATTTCTTCCATATCACATTTTTTCTTTCTTCCATGTTCTTCACTGCCTTCGTATCCACTCGTTTTTTGAATACAACAAAAGCCTTTGTGAAAATGTCGGTTCAGCTCGTTCTGTTGATCGCAATTCTAAAATAATAATAATAATAATAATTCAAAGGGTCATTTGGGGAAGTGAACTGCCTGAAAAGAGAAAAAACCCGTCAGACCCACCAGGACTAGAACCCGGGACCTTGCTTGTCATGAGCAATGCTCTAACCACTGATGTATGGGACCGGGCTGAACCCAGAAGGCGCTGACAAGTTTTTCACTCCAAAGGCAGCTCACAGCACGTGCCAAACATACTGATGGCACTTGGGTCTTTCTCCCTCCTTTGGAGTGAAAAACTTGTCAGCACCTTCTCGGTTCAGCCTGGTCCCATACATCAGTGGTTAGCGCACTGCTCATGACAAGCAAGGTCCCGGGTTCGAGTACTGGTGGGTCTGGTGTTTTTTTCTTTTTTCAGGCAGTTCACTTCCCCAAATGATCCTCTGAATTTGAAGTTCTCCCAATCCCTTCAAATATAATTATAATAATCATTACTTCAACATTGCCCAAAGGCGACTCGATCATATTGATTGCTGACTGCAAGCATGATACTAACGTTTGCAATTAGGTTGAGTTGTTGTTGCTACAGCGGTCAAGCATGTAACATTTCTGTTCCCAATAATCTGATATCCATCGTCACACATAGCACTGAAGAACGGTGCTGCACCAGTGAAGATACCACTAGTTAGTCTTACTGAACAATTATAGGCTGTAGAAAACAAAAAACATGAACATCGGGCCAGGAAATGACTACAAAAATATCATTGTTCTATTAAAAATTAAAATAATTTTCACAAACTGAGTGTCAGCATACACACATAACAAGCATTTCTATAATAATAATAATTATACCACTTCAATGTATATAATTATATTATTATATTAAAAGCATGTCCGCGTAGGTGGCGGGATGCCACTTTCGCTTATGCCATTCAGGATTGATGTCTGAAGAGTAATACAATACAAAGAAATGACAGAAGTGACGTCAACAAAAGCCGTTAGCAACAATACCAATAGGACTAATGGAAAACTTCATCCAAAGTATAAAATAGAATAGAATATGCACACACCATGTCTGGCGGAATCGCGTGGATCAAGAGAATCAGTCATGTTAGGTGGGGCAGGCCTGTCGGTCCGCTGCCATTGTGCGGACTGCGTCAGCATCTAGCGGCTGGTGGAGGGTAAGTCCATGCCATGATGACAGTTCCGTCTGCAAGACCGTTACCAAAGTCGTCCGAGGTCGACCCCTGAAGCGTTCAGTGCCCTCGTCGTTTGCCAAGCGAAGATACATATCCACTGCCAACTGTGGAGGAGCAGTTGGGACCAAACGAAAGATATGGCCAGCGAGACTATAGCGCTGCCTTGTGATCATCTCGCTGAGGGGGACAGCTCCCGAGCGCTTGTACAGAGTGTCATTGCTGATTCGTTTAGGATACCGCATGTCGATGATGCTCGTTAGCTGGGTCATGTGGAACGAATCCATTCGCGCGAGCTCCGACATTGGTAGGCCCCAAGTGCCCCAGTTGTAGGTAAGGACTGGGATGACGTAGGTTTTGTAGAGCCTCAGCCGAAGACCTTGATATGGCGCCTCCGGGTCCAGATCTTGAGGAGTGAGTTGAAGGCGGCGGCCAGTTGACGCCTCCGAGCAGCATCTTCGGCGTCACCCAGGAGAGGGTCTATACATTTCCTTATATAATTTCTTCACTAGTTTGAGGGAAAGACACAAACGGGAAAAGTCTGAAGAAAAAATTGACTGTCACCACCAGGACTCGAACCAGGGACCTTCGCTTGTAGCTAGCGATGCTCTAACCACTGAGCTATAGTGTACCGTAAAAGCCCGTGTATAGGCCCCGGGCGTATAGAACAGCAGCCTCGATTTCCTTTTGCGTATACAAGGGCACGGGCGTTATTTTGGAAAAGGGCGTATACTTGGAATAGGAATAGCAGTAAGTATTGGGTATCAGTACCTGTACATGCACTGGTGTTTCAGCATACCTGGGCGTTTACATGGGCATGGGCGCTATTTGGAAACAATTGTGTTGCCTTCCCCTGACTGGGCGTATACACGGAGGGTGGGCGTTATTTCGAGTGGGCGTATACAGGGGCTTTTACGGTAGTCGTATATGAGCCGTCAGATGAGAAAACAGACCTTATCACAAAAGTCATATTTTGTTTGTGGTACTACTGTACAGCAGGAAATTTTCGGACGGAACTTATTTTCGGACGATTTCGTACACGGGCTCCTTTGTACTAAAATTAATTCCGTACTAAAATGTGTTCCTTGTGAAGTTATGTACACTGTGCATTATACATGCGTACTGCATGCGAACACGTGCATTTAGCATGCAGCACTGTACGAAGATAAAATCCGTGCGAAAGGTCGAAATTCGGCGTTGTCCGAAAATTATTCAGTCCGAAAATTTCCTGCTATACAGTATCTGATTGCCAGGAGCACCAGGAATCGTATGCAGAAAACTAGAGTTGATTTGGACCAGGGAGAGTAAAATTATAGCCTTGACAGTAGGAGACCATTACAAATTGCACCTCAATTTGGGGTGCAATACCAACAATTGTTTCACCTACTTTGGATAGTATTTTCTGTTTCCTTTTACCAATTTCCACAAACTTGGGCTTTCTGGAAAGCTTTGGCGACAAGCAACCCGTTGGGCCCAAATCCGATAGCAAATAAAGCACAGCTCCAGCGCAACAAGCTGCAGATATCGCTTCAGCGCTAGACTTGCGCCGTCACACGAAAATCGTTCGCCATTTCCATCTCCATTATCCCAGGACACCCAATTTTTTCGTGAAGATGCAGTGAGAGCTTCCAAGACGTCTGAGCCTGTTGCCGCGATCATAGATCGCTTGAAAAGGGGGAAACCCCAGGTCTGGAGCGTTTGACTCGCGTGTAGAAATGCAAAGTGCCGTGACGTATCTTGCAGGCTTCGCATCTCGGGAACGCAGCATCGTCCCGCGATCGAACTTGCTGTATTGGATGCCTTGGAGGTTTCTCTTCGATTTACATACTTGGATTGTCCCGAAAGACCGATATTTGACTGAAATACTACGGTTTGTAGCTTGGTTGTCCAGACGCACCAGTGGGTAAACTCGCCAACATTCAAGTGCACTTTTCTCGTATAAAGCCCTGGGCTATATTTGAGTGCGCAATGTCCGTACCATGCAGTGCAGTATCGGGTCCTTTCCCGTGCAACGATAGGGTTAGTCACTGCTTGCACTGATCAACATGAATAGTGTGAAAAAATGGTTGTTCTATTAAGAAAATAAAGCCCCTCTCGAATAAATTCCTCTCTAAAATATACCCCCCACCCCTCGATGTGTCTTCTGGAAAAATAGAGCCCCTTGGCTTCAATTCGCGCCTATACGGTAAATTTATAGAAAAGAAAAGACCAAGAAACTACAACTTACGCTAAAATGTCCAATCAGCGCATGCGACAACGTTGCACGACACTGACCGACGGTGCTGACGTTCTACAACTACCGTAAATGGCTGTTAGTTAGCTGTTAGTGGAGCATTGGTCCCTTTCTTTCCTAAAAGAAATTCTTCAGACTTTTCCCATTTTCAGCTTCCCTGCACAAGGAAGCATTCGGCACATGACAATTTCCAAAAACGTTCTTGCATGACATTATGACCGAACGATCAAGGCAGACTCAAACATTCCATTATTCTGCACCAATGCACACGTTGTGTTGCCGGTGTTGCGGTGGCAGTTCTGACTCTGAGACTGTAAATGTCGTGGACCTCGGCTAGCCGCTGCCAACTCGTCAGTACAACCTCGGCTACGTGCTCTATCACCTCGTTGACGGAGCTCCGGGTGACCAACCAGCTGAACAGCTGAAATTCGCAACTCCACACTGGCCGTCAATGAGCTCTCTTCCGTCACTCCATTCCCTTCTTCACTCCATTTGATCAATCTGTTCAATCTTCCGCAAGAAAGCAAGTCAAAATGTTATTTCTCCAAACGTGCATAATACTCGGCAGGTTTCGAATTTTCGTTGTGGTAAAATAGTTGACAGTTCGTATGTGTTTAGGACTGTTTTATATAAAAAAAAATCGTTTTTTCCCTATTCTGCATTTGTATGCGTATTCGCACCTCATTGACTCCGCTCGTTCCTCATTCTTTATTCCATTTGGCCTAAGCGAAGACTAGCCAAGCTTGCTTGGCAATGTTAACTCGAAGAAGGCTGATGATGATGATCTTACCTCAAAAAGAAAAAAATCACGCCATCACGACTCTTCCCTCAAACCGATGAAAAAAACCAATCGGGATAAAATTGAAATTCAAGGATCAACAAACATGAATGTCAAAGTGGCACCGCATACCTATGCAATTAGCCGGCTGCAATATACCATTGGCTGAACATGTCACTTGTTTATCGGAATAAAATCCAGCTTGACACAGTGTTGTTCCATTTCCGGTAATTCCTTTAAATCCTGGCAGCCCTGCTCCAGCCTGTGTGGAAGGTTGGCATGCTATATCAAGGGAAGAAAAATATTCCGCACCCGAAAATAAATGTATGCAGGCCTTGATCAAACCACACACAGTTGAATTTAAGCAAGTGCTCCCCCCCCCCCCCCCCCCAACCACCAGTTTACAACTCCTGCATTCGCTGCTGTCCTGACATTTTAATGATGTAGTGCTCATTGCACGAGTGATTTACGAGGTTTTTGTGGAGTTTGAACGCATCCCACGGGTCCTTGGACTAATTTTTACGGAATATAATCTGGATTTTTCAAGCACAGGATTAGGGTATTTCTGATAATATGTGTACAATGTGCATTGCAAAATAAATAAAAATACTACGTCGACTCGTCCCTGGATGACGAAGGATCTCCTCAGCCAGATCAAAACAAAGCACAAACAGTTCCGCACCTACAAGGCGACCCAACTAGACTCAGATTGGAAACTGTTCACAGCCCAGCGTAACCGAGTAACCGCTCTTTTGCGACAGGCTAAGTCCGATTTTGTCCAGCAAACAACGTCAATGGGTACAAACCTCCACCGTCTACTGAAGCACCTGAAGAAACCGCCTAAGCAAACAATTCCCACACTATCGACAGCCAACTCCACTGCAGCCACGGCTATGGAGAAGGCAACAGCTCTCAACAAGTTCTTTATCTCCCAAAGCCAACAGTCCATCAACAAGACCGCCTGTACTACACCAGACATCAACACTACCCCTGACATCAGTCATACTCTAAAATACAATCGCAGCAACAGTGGAAGAGGGCGAGAAGCTTCTAAGCAGTCTAGACACTGGCAAGAGCCCAGGCTTTGACAACATCCCAACTCGGCTCCTGAAAGAAACTGCAAAGGAAATCTCCCCATCTCTCACTAGTCTCTACAATCTGTCCTTCAGAACCGGAGAAATACCACAGGATTGAAAAGACGCAACTATTACACCCATCCCCAAGTCGGGCAACCCCTCCCATCCTACCAACTACCGACCCATCTCCCTGCTCAGTATAATATCAAAAACACAAGAAAAAATAGTCCACTCTCGTCTGTACAATCACATAGCACCGCACTTACCCTCCAACCAATCCGGCTTCATGAAACAAGACGGGACCGAACTTCAACTCGCACGGATCGTCCACCAGATATCCACAGCTAGGGATGCGGGGAAGCGTGTTGTTACGTGTTTCTTCGATCTTAGTAAAGCCTTTGATCGTGTATGGCATCAAGGCTTGCTGAAAAAGCTGAGCCACTACGGTGTCGACGGCAAGGCTCACAAGTGGCTCGAAGCCTACTTGACAGGACGCAGACAGCGGGTGCAGGTTGAAGGCACAACATCCGCCTTCATACCAATACCAGCGGGAGTGCCCCAGTGCCCCAGCCAGTTCGCGGATGACACTGCACTAATTGCCATTGCAGGCAGCTACATTGAGTGTGAGGCTGCGCTACAAAGAAGCGTCGATGCCGCAGCAGAATGGCTAGAGCGCTGGCACCTGCTAGTCAATAAAACGAAAACCGTCATCCTCCCGTTCTACCATGCTAACCGACCCCCACCACGACCACCCGAAATAAAACTTGGGCAAACCCTACTAGAAACAGTAACACAACATCGTCACCATCTTTCAGCACGACCTAAGATGGCCAGCCCACCTTGACTTTGTGCTCAAGAAAGCCGTAAAATCTTTCAATATTCTCTTTAGGCTCAAATCAACTCTACACACTAAATTACTCTCTCTCGTTTACAAAACATATATCCTGCCTATAATTGAATATGCATGCATTGCTGTCACCCCGCTCTCAATCGCAGCCCTTGACCGTCTTGAGCGAATCCAGCGCAATGCGGCCAGAATCTGCCTCGTCTCCCCCTCTACACTCCTCTGAATCTTTCAACACTGCTCCATCGGCTCAAATGGGCGACAATGTTCTCTCACCGCAAAGTGAAGCTCGCCCTTCTTGCTCACTCCATAAAATACCAATATGCCCCACAACACATACGCATGCTCAACACCCCCGCTCAAGTTACGGCCCAGTACAGCGTTCGACACGCACGCACTTGGCACCTCCCACCCTTCAGAACCAATCGCTGTAAAGACTCCCCACTGTACAAGTCCCTAGAATACTACAAGGCCCTCCCTGCTAGCATTCGTGACGTCTCCTCCCAACCTGCTTTCAAACAAGAAATCTGCTCACTGCTGATTAACTCAATCTGCTCCTGCAGCGCTCACCCTCTCCCATACTTGTAAAGTTCAAAGTGATGTAAATCACTTTCCAACTGTTTAACCCACAATCTCATCTTCTCTCTATATTTATCTCTTATTGGCGATGGTGCCATCGTGAGAATAAAGAATTCAAAAATAAAAAATGACGTCAACTTAAAATTCTGTCAGGACAGTACCCATGGTCGATTTGCACACTCTTTGGTGCTGTGCACTCTAGTATTTCTGGTCCCTTACAAGTACTAGTATCGACTGGTACACTAATAATCTACGTGGAGATAAAAGTATGATAATAGCTATGAAAAGTATGAATGCCGCAGACATCACCACACAATATGACAACTTGTTCAAGGTTTGATATTGCAATTATCCAGAATCAGTTTTCAAGCTCCGATCATCAAAATACACGGAGAGGCATTGTTGGAGTGGTGGGGTCTTGATTGTACCCGACTTGTGTGCACGGCACGACGGCTAGAGAATGGGGTCCAGAAATAAGTTGTAGCATGGCGGTGTCAAGGCATACAGCTTATTCGCACCGGAGGGCATGGCGCAGTCGCCATATATGTACATCACCTACGCGTGAAAAACTCCAGTGAAATCGACGAGATCGACCTGATGGTGATCCTTTTGGAGAATATTACTTGGTGTATTGACTTATCTAGAGGACATGCCCCAGTGTTAGCATTTAGCTTTTCTAAAATCGTCTGTAAATATAGATATTTACTTTTTATTATTATTAAGTAGTGGTTGCGACTTCGGCGATGATTTGTAAGAAAGGTTTGCTCCCCACACCGGAGCTCGCGCTATTCCGCCGACTTTACTTGACACTTGACTGACTCACGACTGCCATCCAGAGCACACGAGAAGTCCATCGAACCTTCGACTCGGCAAACCTGCAAGAAAGCACCAGTCCCTGTTCAATACACGGTGTTTCGGGGAATTCACCCCTCATCAGTTGAGCTTGAGTAGGCTGAGGAAGATTGTGCCTGAAGAGCACCACATATATAGTGCTCTCCAGGCACAAACATCACCAGGGATAAAGTCGGCGGAATAGCGCGAGCTCCGGTGTGGGGAGCAAACCTTTCTCACTTTTTATTATTAATTTTAGTTTAATAAGAAAACTTGTCATATAGGAGGAGGGGGTTGAGCGCCTGTTCGTTTCTCGAAAAATATCTATGCACAGTTGCTTGTGTGAGCATCTCTACAAAAAAAAAGAAATAATAATTATCGATACTACTTCCTCCGTTGACAAAAACTTCGTGATGGATTTCGATGGATATGAAAAACGCTTAGAACAGGTCAAGACCAGTTTGTATCGACTGCAAATCACTGGACGGAAGTAGTTCAGTCCATGTACAGCGTCTTTACAAGGGAAACTGTTGTCAGAATGAGCAGAGAGTTCAGTTTGCATCGCTTTCGCTCGACTCATTTTTCACCTTGTGTCGCTGTCGTCATCTGCTGCATGTGAGTCGTCATCTCTAACTCTCTCTCGAGTCGTTGATCAGCTAATTTCAGGCTTTCCTCGACTTCTTTCATTAAACTCTGATTAACTTTGGTGATGGTGCCAACGTTCAAGTTGGCTTTCAAGCTACTTGATCTGCTACGGTGGCGATTACCCGTTTCCACCAGGGAATCGTAAAAGTTGTACGACTCCTGGTTTCATCTCCACTCTCCAGAACTTCGCAAAACGTAGGAGCAGAGGCACAGAAAAATGATTATAATTTCTCGGATGTACACTCCTACTAGCACTGAACGGTAGCGGCTAGCCAGTCCAGTCGGTTTTCCTAAGCCACGGGACTTGCGTCGGACTGAAGACTTCTGAAAGAATGCAGGGTCATCAGCATTCGAATCTGGGCTTTGCATAGGTTGAGCAAGAACCTGAATTTAGAATTATTAATTTTCATTGCGCCGTGTGATCGGAGCAGCTGCTTGTTCACTCCCTCCTTGTGTAAGCTCGCTGCTCCATTCCATCACTGTATCACTCTCGAACTCGGTGCTAGAGCAGTAGAGAGGCAAAGGGTGCAGTGCATTATCACCTCGGAGAAGTGCTATTTCAGTTTCTCTCACCAGGACTGTCATCATCTATGTTGCCACAGCGGAACCATAGACCCCGCTCGGCTTGTCGTACCGTGAAAGGTCGCTTTCCTTCCATCGTACCTCTTTTATGGCCTGCCAGGGAAGGCCAAGAAAGTAATCGCGAATCATTTCATGGCAGTTTGTGTGCAACCAGTCCCTCAAAAATCCATCACGAATTTTTGTTCACGGAGGAAGTATGTACACAAAAAGAGAAAAAAACCCACGGGAGAACGAGTTAGGGCCTGGTCAGACTGGGGCAAATTTTGGTTGCCTGACGAAAAAAGAACAGCGTCTAGAATTAGAATCGCGATCACGCTACACATGTGGGGAGAATGAAAATTAAAACTTCATTTCGAGGGTCAAGTGGTAATCTCCACGAACGACGTCAATTTCCTTCACCTTGGGGATCGCCAATACCTTCAGTGCAATCCTTGCAACCATCCTTATGAGTTTTGTTGCTGTCCGTGGCCAATTATCAACTCGATATCGAGATGAATAAATCAGTGATAATCAGTGTCAATGGCGTATCAGCGTCAATGGCATATCAGCGTCAAATCCTGTTTGGAGCGGAAAAGCGTGGCCCGTTCTTGCTTTTTTTTTTGGAGCGTCAACTCTCGCTTTTGCCGCTCTGGCGGCAAGTTACTATGGAGATTTGGATTAAAATCCCAGGATTATTTCGTTTTTGCCGGAGTCTGACCAGGCCCTTATGCAGCAACTATCCACGACTGTAACACCATGATGAAGAGTCAGAAAGTGCGATAATAGGGCATAAAAAATGGACAGGCTACTGAGACATTCAGCAACGTGAGACCTAGCTCCAACATATCTTCAGTGCGCAAACCAACAGCCTTCCAACTCGGAAGATTCATGGTTACGTAGGACCGAACAGGGGATAGTTGCTGCATAACTCGTTCTCATGGGTTTTCTTCTCTTTTTTACATTTATTACTGTCTCAGTATCTGAGTTAAGATACTACAGGGTTCTAGCCAAAGGGGGTAGGGGGGGGGGGGCGCAGCCCCACCCCTACTCTGTTTGCGCGCCCCCTGTGAAAAATTGCCGCCCCTACTCATTTTCCGATTTTTGTGGTTTTCATGCGTAGATGGTTCATAAAGGCACATTTGTCTGGGGTGAAGTCAGGGTTTCGCCCCATACGTTGCATTTGGCGTGGCCAGACAATGCTGTAAATTAACAAACTTTCGCTGGCGATTTAATTTCGCTGATTTCGCCGGTCTATGTCAATCGGCCAAAATTATTCGCCGGCCAAAATTTGTCACCCAAACCAAATTTACTTATGCTGCCGGACTCTCTGTAAAAACTGCGTACATTAGACAGGGGTCTATAAAACTACACAGACCTTTGTACTACTGTATTACTAGTAGTACATGCGCACTCGAAACATCGATCACTTTTTTGGACACTTGCACGCCTACGGCGAACGCTTAGTGGCGGCGAAAAGTGTTTGTTGGAGATCGGCGAAAGTTTTTCACCGGCGAAAATTTGTTGATTTACAGTATTGGAAAGTGGAAAAATGGTATATAGGGTAACTGTTTCCCATGACCCCCCCCCTTACTATTTTGACCTGGCTACACGGCTGTTTTTTTTCGCGAAATTGCGACATTTAACAAGATGGCAGCCAAAAGTCTCGATTGGGCTGGATCGGCAAGGAAATTTGAATTTTCAAATTCTCAGCAGCCGATTTCGCTGTGGTTTTCGCTGGATTTAGAAAGCTACCAGGCCAGGTTTACCCGGAAAACAGGTATTCCGTGTTCCTCTTGAAACTAGCTTTCCGCTGGTTCCTCACATGGCCAACTTCGTCTCAGGAACAGTTTGTTCCGCGTTGCACAAGTCAAGCCTTCTTTCTCGGTCGTTCCTTGATTCATCGTTGACATGCCTGCGTCAAGAAGCCCTTTCAGGAATTTTCCCAGTCTAGCTTTCAGTTTTCCCAGGTAGAGGACTATATTCTGGCTATCTTCACCAAGTTTTATCACGGGCCGTGCACAAACTTCAGGTCCCGTGCGTTCGATGCTGAGCTACCTTTTCATGCGATTTAGGGGACAGATGGCATGGCGCTGGAGTCGCTGTTGAGTCCAGGAGGCCGAGGCCTGGTGGAAACTGCCCAGTAGACATGTGGGGTATTGCTGAAAAAGGCAGCAAGCACACAGATAGCCCCGAAATTGTGATGTAGATCCAATTGTGCGTTTGTTCGAGTGCATATCGGCAAATTTGAAAGTTGCACCCGTGATGCCGGCGAGGAGAAGCTGAAAATCAGTGCGTGCGTCAATATCCAGACTACCAGGGACAGCTTGGAGAGGTTCGAAAAGGTCAGGATGCTGGTTGACCACGGCAGGAGTTCCTTTTACCTTCCTTCTCTCTCAAATTGTCTGGATATTGAGTATCTCGCTCGAGCGCTTTCAAATATTAAATCCTGGTTTGACTTGCGAAATCGTGGAACCACACGGAGAGTGACATGAGTTTCATCCCAAAACGCAAACTCCCATCGTATTCATGAGGTTTGTACCGCGTTACGTAAATCGCACCGAACGACTCCATATTGTTAGATGTCCGTGCGCGAACAGCCGTGGCTAGAACCCTGCCTATGTACCATTATTCTGGTGATTTTTCGTTTCTCAAGGAGAGGAAGGCAGAGGGAGAGATGACTTTATTCGTTACTAAATTTTAGTATTTGCGGATTGCCCCTAACAGAAAAAGGAAGACCATTAGTAGATAAATTCGGCTAAGACTGCCATTGTTGCAGCCAAGCTGCATAATTGTATTCTGTACTATGGGTGATGAGTACATTGTGTGTTACTTGCATTATAGGAGGTGCTGTGTGAATGATCCATGATACATACATACTTACTTACATAATGATACTTACAATTACATGTATAGTTAGAGAAAGTGCCAGTACAAAAATTAAGCCCATCGCAGACTGGCCGAGCTTGTTGTGCACCTGAACAGTTCATGGAACAAAAGGATGCGTTGAGGTCTGCATAAACCAAGACAAGAAACAAAGAAGGAAGGGTAAAGACAGTGATATGAAAATGTCAAACCATGCATACAGTCATGTAGGTATGCGGTGCCACTTTTACATTCTTGTTTGTTTATTATAAGCCTGCATACTAGTACTGGCCAACCCTCCCGGTTTTCCCGGGGAAACCCTGGGAAATCCACACTACTCCCGGGTTCCGGGGTTTTCAAGCAAACAGTTTTGTTTGATACAGGATTTCCCTGAAACTCCATGGATTCTCCTTGAGTGTCCCTTTTTTCAGGAATATGTATGGTTCCCACTCGCCACTTCGAATTATTCATGGCACTTTCAAAATCTGAACAGCCTAGGTTGCAAGATCTGCACTGACAGGCGGGCACCGACTGATCGGACTGCACTGCAGCCTGTGCAGGGTCCAACTGTGCTGTGCGAGTACGCAGATCTGCAAACGTTGAACGTTTTTTTGGCGGGAAAAGCTCTTTTCACTTGTTTTGTGCCATCCAGGGATTTTGAGAGAAATCCAGGGATTCTGAATGTCTTGTCAAGGGGATTGAGATTTTGGTGGTTGGTTAGTATGACTGTATTAGAGACCTATTGCTCTCCGATTTTCGGTGAAACTTTCGTAGCCCTGGTCCGAGAACATAGTTTATCCGAAGATTCGTCCAGAACTTCGCAAAACAAGCAGTCTGGCCGAAAAGTGTTTTCGTGTGCCCACACGATCAAGTGCAAGCAGGGAGTCAGCATTTGACTACTCCCGGTCCCATAGATGGTTGTTTTGGCATAGTGAATTTTAGCCCCTCCCCTTCTCTTTCTTTTTCTTCTTTTTGTTTCTCCCGCCGTGTGAGTAATATTTCTTTGCTAAATGTATAACTTTTAGTGCTAACGGCTGCCACCCCTATTATTATTTGGTTGAGTTGGGTTTCTCCGCTCTTCTTCCTCGCTCACCGGAGGAATTTCTCTAGCCTCCTCGCGCAACTGGGGAGCACTCCAATGGAAAGAGAACGATTTTCATAGAGCGGCTTGCTGTGAGAGGTGGACTGAGACTTGACGGCACTAACGGCGAATACCAAGACCTTACGGCCACGGAGCTGCTGGACTCTGCGCTGGTCGTCTATCCGTGTGGAGGCAAAGCAAACGCGGGCAACATTCTGCTGAAGCAAGCGCAGAGCTGAAACTGGATTGGTGACTGACGTACCTGCTTACTCCACAACACCGGCGCATAATGATGTACATGTACTTGTACAAGACTTCAGCAAGTATATGTAGTACAATTATTTGTTCCCAAAACAACTTCGGATCAGTCTGTTCATGGTTTTTATTTGTATTGGACTCATTCTCTACAATTGCGATAATTTAGCGGCAATTCTAATGTTGTAGCATTGTTTTCTTGTAATTTAGTGGAACCTGAAATTGAAGACACCACTGCAGCTGTACTTATTGTTGATAAATATGGTGGTAAAGACACACCTGGCAATATGGCGGTAAACACACGCCTGCCCACACACGCTCTCTAGGCTGCAAAGTTCTGGCACAGAGCTCTCCTTCTCACCACCACCACCATCAGTTCGCGCCTGGCGCCTGGTCGATGCATGGCTGGCGGTATCCGGCATAGCAGGCTGGTACATCAAGTAGCGCATGGCACATAGATGATGACACAGCAACGACATAGCTCGATTGCGACGTACGTTTCGTCCCCGCTGGACTCATCAGGCAATCTTCTTCTTGGATGTCTTCATACGGAGCTTGACTCGGGAGAATGAAATTGAAGACACCACTGCAGCTGTACTTATTGTTGATAAATATGGTGGTAAAGACACACCTGGCAATATGGCGGTAAACACACGCCTGCCCACACACGCTCTCTAGGCTGCAAAGTTCTGGCACAGAGCTCTCCTTCTCACCACCACCACCATCAGTTCGCGCCTGGCGCCTGGTCGATGCATGGCTGGCGGTATCCGGCATAGCAGGCTGGTACATCAAGTAGCGCATGGCACATAGATGATGACACAGCAACGTAGTGGAACCTGTATTGAGTAACTGAGTTTTAGGTTTCGTTAGATTTTCGACAGATCTCCTGTGTACCGGTTTTGTGGCACAATGATTATAGCCATTAAATTTTGTCGTCTCCATTCTTCTGCAATCATGCATATGTAGGTTGGTTCTCTTCATGTTATTGTGACCTATTTCATAGAATAACTGATGTTGGTCACCAGCCTTGTTGCTTTCTCTCCTCTCTCCTCTCACCCAAGCTGTTCTGGAAAAGCGAAGCTGTGGACGCAGCATACTGCTGCCACACTTCAACCGCGGGAATGCGTATAATAATAATAATAAATATTATTATTATTTGTTCTAGCTGCTTGTATTTCACTAGATTGGAATGCACGGTGTGTCTCAAAATTGGAGTACATTCACATTATGCTTTGAGCCAGTTTACTATGTGCTTCTACTCTTGGGAGGGAGTTATGTTGTACGTTATTTTGTGTACGTAGTGTGTACGTCATGTTGGTGCATGCGCGTGTTGCTGTGGTGTGAAAAGCTGTCTGGCCAACTCCAGATTCTGCTGCCCGTGTTTGCGCGAGTTCGGTCCTCTGGGCTGCGGTTCAATCTGAAGAAATGCTCCTTCTTCCAGGAGGAAGTCACTTTCTTAGGACACCGCGTGTCAGCGGAGGGCATCTCCCCGGATGAGGCCAAACTCGTTGCGGTCGGGAACTGGAAGACTCCGAAATCTGTCACAGCTGTCCGCGAGTTCCTTGGCTTCGCTGGATATTATCGCCGCTTTATCCGTGGGTTCGCCCAGCATGCTGCTCCGCTGACTGCTCTGACAGGCAAGAATGCTCGCTTTGCGTGGTCGAAAGCTTGCGAAGCGGCGTTCGCTTGCCAGTGCGCCGGTGATGGCGTACCCCCAGTTTGAAGATTCAGCAGGTGCATTCATTCCGGACACCGATGCGAGCAATGTGTCGATTGGTGCGGTCCTCAGCCAGATCCAGGATGGAACTGAGCGACCAATTGGGTACGACTGCCGTGTACTGACGAAAGCTGAGCGCAACTACGATACTAGCGATCGTGAGGCCCTCGCGCTGGTCTATTCTGCGGAGTATTTCAGGCACTACTTGTTGGCACGACCATTTGTTGCCAGGACGGACAATACTGCGTTGACTGCACTCCGGGACCTGAAGGAACCCCGCGGACGGAAAGCACGATGGCTTGACTGTTTATCCGAATATGAATTCCGAGTCGTCCACCGTCCAGGTCGCCAACATTTGAATGCTGATGCCTGATGGTCTGTCGCGCTTGCTAGCCGAACCTGAAGCACATGTGCACAGAGAGTCTCCGCCACTGGCACCAACGCCGCCGCGAGATGCTGCGCCAGCTACATCCAGTGCTGCCACCTTTGAGCTGGATGATCTATTATCTGCTGCTATAGCTGATGCTCAACGTTCTGATCCGGAGCTATCCATAGTCTGGTCATGGTATGATGCGGCTAGTGGCAAGTTCGTTCGCCCTCTGGAAGATGACATTTCCGGTGTTAGTCGAACTGTCAAGATTATCTGGTCACAGATTGATCAGTTGTCTTTGCGTGATTCCGTCTTGTATGTACTGCCTCCTTTTGCTGATCATGACCACATTGGTGAGTCACCCCGTCTGGTCGTACCATGCTCACTTCAGGAGCGAGCCATGATCGCTGTACATTCTCTTCCTACTGCTAACCATCCTGGTGTGGAGAAAACCCTGTCTCAAGCTCGTCTGCGTTTCTACTGGGTTGAAATGGCTTCTGACATCACCGAATTTGTTCGATGCTGTCACACCTGTGCACAGATTCGAGCGAAGAATCCAACAAACCGTGCACCACTTCAGCCAATGATTGCCGGCTATCCGTTCGAAATAGTTGCCTTGGACATTGTCGGTCCTCTGCCTGAAACGTCCCAGGGCCATAAGTATCTCCTGGTCATGGCGGATTACTTTACGCGATGGGTCGAGGCATTCCCTTTGCGCGATATCACTGCTGTTTCAGTCGCTGCAGCTGTCGTTAATGGTTGGATCAGTCGGTTCGGTGCACCTGAACAGCTTCATTCAGATCAAGGGGCTCAATTCGAATCTCGGCTATTCGCGGATATCTGCCGTCTCCTTGGTATCCGGAAGACGCGAACCACGCCGTATCATCCGTCTGGCGATGGTCTGGTGGAGCGCGTCAACCACACTCTTCTAGGTCTGCTGCATGCCCCCATTACTCCAACCAGTATGGAGTGGGATGCAACGTTCTCTCTCGTCTTGCTGTCATATCGTGCTACAGTGCACAAGTCCACTGGATTCAGTCCAGCGCGCCTTCTGTATGGTGCGGATGTCCGGTTACCAGCTGATATTGTGTTCAATTTACCTTCACCACCTTCCACTGATATGCATACCTATGTCCGTAGTCTCGACACTTCTCTGCGGAAAATTCACGTTGAAGCCCGTCATAATGCTGATCTTGCTCATGCGTCTCAGGAACAGTTCTATAACCTTCGCGTTCAAGGTGAGCCTTATATTGTCAGTCAGCAAGTATATCTTCATGATCCAGTTATCCGTGCTGGCGAGCACTGTAAATTTCATCGTTCCTAGTCTGGCCCACATACTATTGAGCGTGTTAATGGTCCAATGTCATACACATTATTGCTGAAGGGAGTTTGAAGGTACTGTTCACTTCAATCGCTTGAAGCCAGTTACTTAATAGTGCCCAGTTTCCTTGCCGTCTTCTTTCCATGATGTCCCCAACCCAGTGAGTTTGTCAGCTGATAACTTTGTTCCTGTTGTGCCACATGATGCCGATGACTCTGTTCCAAGTACGCCTCCGTTGTCGCCGCCTGTTGCCCTATCACCTCTACCTCCTCCTGTTGCTACTCCAGTTTTAGTGCGTCGATCAGGCCGGATCCGCAATGCTCCTGCGAGATTTGATGACTATGTTTGTCGTTAGGTCATTGTGTAGCCGTAATTATTATAAATTTAATTGTTTTTGCCCTGCTTGCCTATTATCCACGAGGTCGTGAATGGTGAGAGGAGGGGAATTGTGTAGTATAGGCCAATGATTACTTATTATTTCTTACATTCGTATTTCGTATTTCCTGCTCCTGTCCACGTGACGAATCTCTGGCCTTGTAAGCTGCGGGCATGCCCACATGTTTCTTGCCTTTCTCTCTCTTCTCCTTCATGACAAGTGACATTAGTTTTACTATCGATATGAATAGTGTGAGTGTCTGATGAAACCAGGGAATAGTCTTGTATTACTCTTAGGAAAGGGAATCCTACACTTTTATTTATAGTCGTGCAACCAAACAGGCAATGGTGCCTTCTCACAAGGAGACGACTTAGAATAGGAGAGGGCAGACTTTGAAGTGAATGGGGAGGGGAGAAAAAGCAGGCACGGAAGGAAAATAGAATGGAAAGGATAATGTAGTATAGATTGAGACGCAGGAGTAAGATCCAGATCTTTGTCACAGTACAAAAGCAATTGGCGGCATGCTTGATGGAGACACTGGTACATTTCATACATGAAGCAAATCGTTTTCACAATGGACAAAGAAAGAGTCGGTGGCATGAAACTTACGGTCGAGGGGATTTCGGAGTGTGCCGAAGTTGATGATCTGATGCTTTATTGGGAGGAAACCGCATAGTTGATAATCAAGGAGTCTGTTATTACTAATATCGCTGGGCAACCAATCAGAGTAGATGAGAAGATGGACTCGGATGGAGAACCAACGATTAATTTATAGTGAAGAAAAGGACCAAGGGATTACAAGCACCCAATAATGTCCACTAACACCATCAGTTACTTGATAATCAACTCATGCGATAACATTGCAAGACACTGACCAACGGTACTGACGTTCTACAACTAACATCCTTCAAACTTGGAAGGAACTACGTTCTAGAAATAACATAGAAGGGGAAGGTGCGTGCAACCTAGACAAGCACAAGATGAAGCTGTGACGGACAATTGCGGATGTAAAATTCAAGACGATGACGATACTGACAATACCATCCCTATAAAATTTGTCATTGACACTAGAGCAACTGTACTGTCAATCTAACAGAATCACTGCCTTAACCAAAATGTTTGTAAATAGCCACGATAAAGATGATCAGGGGATTTTAAAAAGCTGTGTAGACTCACTATGCAATAACTAGGGCTGAAACGATTATACCGAATACTCGGTGATCGACTGATAATGAACAAAAGAACGATTAATCGTTTGGCAAATGATTACCGATTATTTTTTGCGCGTTCTCAACATTTTTCAAGATTTATTTTAAAAAATCAAGAAAATCTGAAGGCACTTTTCGTGCGTCCGATACTCGCGGATCGCGGAGCTCTACGCGGGACCAGGGAGCACAGAATGTACATGTGTACGGTTGCCCTGCACTCGCCGTAGTCTTCAACGCGGTACCAGGGAGCCCTGCATGGGTGGCCTTGTACTGGCAGCAGCTCTACGCAGTAGATCTACCAGGGAGCCCTTGAGGCCCTCGACTCGCTCGAGGGCCTCCGCGTTGTACCCGTACACTGCATGCATGCTTGCGACAAATTTGACCGAGTGCAGTGGTTTCGTAGTTTCATGTTGGAAAGACTTCGGAAAGACTTCGGAATGGCGTTAAGAACGAAGCGTTCTCCGATTTGGGAGTTCTTCAACGATCCAGTAGATAAAAAAGTCGAGTGTAAGCAATGCGAGAAGAAGCTTGTCTACACTGGTGGAACGACAGCCATATGTGAGCATATGAAGCGCGCTCACCCGCTCCTTTTCGGTAGATGTGACCGTGAGAAGTCGTCGGCAAAGCAGTCATCGATGCTGCAGCACGTTGCTGTGAAGCCAGCGGCGACTGTGCATGTGGGGACCAGCACACTCATGCACATTTACATAATGTGGCCTGGCCTGCGCGAACCATGATGCGAGGTCAGCATTTTGTGTGCGCAATCTAGCTGCACATGCAGAGATTGTGATAGAAGCCCCCACATACTAGTTGCTAACTTTGGATGCTATTTTGCTTGGTGTATTGGTGGATTTTAGTGTGAACAAAGGTCTAGTAAACGTGTTTATTTTTCGGTCATTTTTTTATTTTTTTCCACCTCTCGCATACGTTTCTAGATTTTCAGGGGACGAGAAACATAGAAATAAAAACGTGTGGCCTTATACTTTATTTGCTTTTTAGTGGATATTATGTAATTAGGCAAATTTGCCTGTTTGTTCTTCGACTCTAAATAAACAAACAAACAAAACTGACTGACTTTTTCGCGATCTACGGCCGTTGTCGATCGTCGACGATGTCGGGTTCCGTGACCTGATGGGACGTGTATCGCCCGGTTACGTGATTCCGTCGAGGACTCACGTCTCCAAGCTGATCGGACAGCGCCACACCACTGGTCTCTCTGCCCTTACGAGTCGATTGAAGTCCGTCTCTGGCTGCTGTCTAACGACGGCCGTGTGGACATCGAAGGCCACGCAGTCGTATAACACTGTAACTATGCACTTGGTGACCGAAACTTGGGAATTGGAGATCGCTGTTGTCGAGACTGCTCTCTTCCCAGGCTCCCACACCGGCGTGAGGATCGCAGAAAAGGTGTCGGACGCAACAAAGAGAGTGGGACTCAAGCCTGCTCAGGTAATTGCAGTGGTGCACGACGAAGCGAGAAATGCGGAGCTTGCTGGTCGACACCTGCTCCAAGGTCATGGCTGGGAGTCAGTAACCTGTTCTGCCCATCTCTTTCAAACGTGCGTGCGACATGTGCTTGAAGATTCAGCTCCTGCACAGAAATTGTTGAGTGCTGCCAGGAAGTTGGTTGGGCACTTTCGCCATAGCAGTCAAGCAACAGAGGCTTTGCTTGCAAAGCAAGTCCAGATGGGTAACACATCACCTGTAAAACTGACCCAGGATGTATCAACGCTTTGGAACTCTGCACATGACATGCTGAAACGTCTGGTTGAGCTACGACTGCCCGTAATGGCTGCACTGACTGCTCCAGGTAAGCAGCATTTTGTCATGGTATGATTTGTATGCCCAGTGGCTAAACCTTTGCTTTTCCTGTGTCGGGTTTGGTGGGATTGAGCTGTTACGTCGTGAGTCGTGACTTGTTCTTTGCGCTTGAAATAGAATTGTTTCGTCCTACCTGGTTTCGAAGAGAATTGGTGAGCACGCATGCTCATTCCCTGGGCACTGCAACTTCACAACTCATTTCATTTTACAGAATCATTTCAACGTTTCGGCAAATTGCCATCATCAGCATGCAACATGAAGTGGAAGTCTGCCAAGGAGCAGTTATATACACTAATTTGGTGTTTTTAGGTGTTGATAATGAGAGAGCTTGGAAGCTCAGGGCCCTACGCTATGCTTTTTTTGCCTTGATGACCTAGACAAAAAAAAACATAGGGATGTTATAAATTCTTTACAAAAAATCCGTTTTTTTAAGACATAACCTGGGATTCGAACCCACACTAACTCGCGCGCCCTGCATGCATCTCCCGATACACTTCGCATATATACTAATTCTTCCAAGTTGCTTCACGTTATGATCTTGCATTTGAAAGCCCTATTTGAATATGCATTGTGGCCAGCCGTCTTTGATGGTACGGTACGGTACGGGATAGGTACGGGACAGGTACGATCGAGGGTAATACGACACCGTCTACCGCCTTGATGACGGCAAAAAAAAGCATAAGTAAAAAAAAAGTAAATTATCGTATCCGTTCCCGAAGGGAACTCACGACGGCCGCTAACACCCGATAAACCCTAGCGGCAGAGGCATCGCCTAACGGTGGGGGTGAGTGGGTAGGTCACACAACCACTGGCACAAGTGCCGAAAGCGACCCCATTAGCTGCATCCATGTACCCCTTGTGCCTGGCCACAAGTTCCCAGTTGACTGTGGGTAGCAGCACGGCTGGAAAAACCGCTCCCAGGCAGGACTTGAACCAGGTACCTCTCGTATCTCAATCATGGTCTTTGACCAACTCACTGTGCCTGCATAGGGATGTTATAAATTTTTCAATTCTCCTATTTTTGTTCAGGCATATCCTGGGATTCGAACCCGCACTATCGCAATACATGCATTCCCCCATACACTTCGCATTCATACCCATTCTTCCAAGATGCTTCACGTTATGATCTTGCGTTTGAAAGCCCTATTTGAATATTGCGGCCAGCTGTATGTGGCCAGCTGTGTTTGATGGTACGGTACGGTACGGGACAGATACGGGATAGCACCAGGCGTGACACAAACACACAAACAAACAAACACTCAAATACCAAATTAAAGCTGTGTGGACCCTGGCTAGCGACAGACGATACTGAAGTAACGTCTTCTGCATAGCTATTATTTCTATGACTGCACATGTTACCTCAGTGCTAGAAATATGACATGTCTAAAACTAGTGAAAGATCACAAGTTTTCACTGACTCATATGCTGGGTGTTGGTAATAAGTTATCACAGCGCAGATGTCACCAGATAACTTGAGAAATGTCTGAACAGGTTTCTCGCAAGCAATACACGAATGTGACCATGTCAGTGTTTTCCAGAAAATACTGTCACCTAGATAGACAGTGTGGTGTGACTGTTTTAGAGTAATGCCCATCCAGCACTGGTGTTGATCTCTGGGCCTTCGTTTCTGATCTCCACTGCCTCTCGCAATTTGCGGCTTGCCCTGTCACTGGCTCTTGCAACCACAGACACTGCCGAGAAGATGCTGTCCCCGACACATAGGTTGATCCCTGCATGCTTAGCTCGCATGTGGTCACCCCATGGCTTATCCACAGTGCGCCTACGAGCTTCACCGTCAAGGCTGCACTAGCTGAGGAGATGAAGAAGCACACTGCTCAACCACCTTCTGTTGTCGCACAGGAACCACAAGCCAAGCGCAAGCCCGAGGACACAGGCCTTCAAGCTCTGCTGCATGGGGCCGTGTACGATGCCACAGCCGTGGAGAGTGAATCGCCTGCCCAGGAAGTAGCACGGTACTGCAGTAAGAGGATGGAGGGCATTGAGATCAAACCTCTGGATTGGTGGAAGTGCAATTCCACCAGGTTTCCTGGTCTTGCTGTCCTGGCTCAGAGGTATCTCTCTATCACAGCTACGTCAGTACCGGCTGAGCATGTGTTCTCTGCTTGTGGCGTTCTTGTCAACAAACTTCGCTCGTCCCTGGCACCATCATCCATTGACGCTATGATCTTCTTCAAAAAAAAAACCAAATCACAGTTGCACCAGAGCAAGCCGAGGAAGAGGAGGCAATGCCAGCGCTGCCTGACCTGGCTGCCGTGGAGTGCCAGCTTGTTGTCAGTGGCTCAGATTCAGAGCTATCTAGGACCGGCACTGACTCTGATTCTGATGCCTCTGAGTGACACGTATAATTATGAACACTGAATAGTACACTATATGAGTATAGTATAATATTTTGCTTGAAGTTCCATACCCGAACCGTTTCACCCCTAAATTGTATTTGTATTTATGGTTTCACATGCCTTTGCCTAAATCGAGGGAGTCTGCGTCAACAGCTTATGAAGAAGGTGAGGCTGATGAGAAAAGAAAGATGCGTTGTGGTAGTAATTGAACACAGTACTCTTTGACATCATTAGTCTACATGGAGTGCTACCAGAGGGCTCATATCGGGTGGCAGCAAAGTGGGTGCGGACAAGAGCGATAACATATTGTGGGGCTGGATCCAGTTCGAATGGCAGCCATAAGGAAAATCCATTTTGCACTGCTGACAAAGAGCAAGGCACAGGTGTGTGTGTGCGTGTGCTGGCTCCTGCAGGCGGAAGCAGATGTTGGGGGCGTATGGCACGGTGTTTACTGGATGTGTCTTTGCCATGCAAGGCTGGGCCACTGGGTGAGCATGAAAAGTGAAGCTTTCGGCTCCGTTTGACCAGGCGCCTTCTTGAGAAATGAACATCAGATTTTGCAGGTGGGCTTCGCTTGGTGTCTACAGCAGCCGAACACAATTCTTTTTAACCGCTAAATTTGTACAATTTCGAAATGGGACGCACCGCGAAGTAGCCCTCGAAGCGACGTAACTTGGGACCCAACGCGGGCTCTGGTACATTGCAAGCAGAGGCACTATGAACAAACCATTTTTGTCTGCATTTACGGGGTCTGAAGTAACCTTGAGGCTTCATCTTGCAGCTTCATCCGTAGAGAGTAGCTGGGTAGACGCACCCATTCCCACCGCATGTGCTCTGATGTGGAGCACTCTCCCCGGCGAGGAGCGCATCATTGCCCAGCTACCTCAATTTAAGTTGTGTGCATGTATGCCAGATGCAGGCTGTGGTGGATTGATTATTATACTCGTACAGATTGCGATGTAACTCGCCTCCAATCCAAGTGCTGCCAAAAGACTGGAAGTATTTTTCAAAACAGGCATTTTCAAAAAGCTGAGCGGCAGAGTGCAGCGAACAGGGACAAACGAAATGTTTTCATTGGTAACATGACGTCAGCCACATTATCAACATGGCGAGTTGCAGCCCTGACCTTCAAGTACAGCGGCACCAGAAAAGTGTCAAAGAAAGCGAGAGAGAGAAAAAAGAGAGAGCGAGGGAGAGAGATACATAGATAGATAGACGGAGAGAGAGAGAGAGGGAGAGGGAGAGACAGAGACAGAGACAGAGACAGAGACAGAGAGACAGAGAAAGAAGAGGAGAGGAGAGAGAGATAGAGAGGAGAAGAGAGGAGAGGAGAGGAGAGGGAGGGAGGGAGGGAGGGAGGGAGGGAGGGAGGGAGGGAGGAAGGAAAGAGAGAGACAGGAGAGAGAGAGTTCAGTGGTTTTTGTAGCACATAACAACTTATGAAACGTCACACGAGAATGAAGCTCACAGTTGTTGAAGATTAGAAAGCTTCTCAAAAGCACTGGGAGGAAGGAATGTTAATAGATTGAACTGTAGATGCCTGCGCAAAAAAAATGCAAAGTTTGGTCTCAGAAGGCCGTTAAGCACCCAGTAAAACAAGTTTACTTTGTATTCAAACAAGAAATAAAAATCAAGAGAACATTAGAGAGGTTCCGCACTACATAAAGTTGAGCAACTTTACGTTAGTGGGCGGGAAAAACCCGTGAATTCGCGAGTTTGCACTCCACTTACGGAAAGTTGTCTACGGAGAGTACGTAGATAGGGCTTTGATAACGTAGCTGGTCCGTTAATGGATTGGGTACAAATTTATGACTCTTTCCCCATGTCGATCTGGTCGTACACTGCCGCGTTCGAAGTTGCCAACGGCAGCTACGTGATTTGAAAACTCCGTATGGCGGAACCCAGATCCGCATGCAGTTTACGTAAGACTTTCCGTAGATCGACTACTTTTTTTACTAACGTAATTACGTTATGCGGAACCTCTCTATTACCATGGGTGTGCAACTCGACGATTCCAAACCCACTGTAGAATTTTGTTCTGACATCAGTCTTTCTCGGCTATTTGACTCCGTGATGCCACTATACGTAGCCAGAGAGCAATGTACAAAGAGTTTGTTCATCGCAGCTACATTTCTTGAAGCAGAACATTGGACGATAAGTCGATGTGTTCTGAACCTGATGAATTCTTACCATAAATATGTACAAAACAAGGGGGGGGGGTATACAGACTTGATCATACTTTCGCCAGAGAATAATGCAATAAACAAAATCCCCTGTGGGTGAATCCTTCAGAGTTGGACATAGGAGTTACACACTCTTGGTTATGCACTCTTGTTGATATGTATACTGTAAGACATGTATATATAACGAGGAAGCAAATCTAACGTTTTAACGGATGACATTCTTCGTTATAATAAGATCCGTTGAGGCCGTACTGCTTCATATATGCTGTGTGTGGATATGGCAGAATACTGCAAGATCGTTAACATATCTTCTCGTTAACCTATGAATTTTGGACAATCGTTAAATTTGCGACTCGTTATAATAACATGTCTTACAGTATTCAAGATACCTTGTCCTGATAAAGAGTTGCTAGTCATATAATAAGCTGTGAAAAATTTGATCGAGATCTCTCGCTTGAGCACTCTATCCCATCAAATATCTGAGTATTCAGATCACTTCATCTTAACACAAACCACATCTGAAAAAAACAGAAACTCGAATGATACTAGGAACGTTTAGCAACGCGAACGTTCGAACTTTTGGTTTTGGTGGGAATAAAGTTTCGCGAAACTTTATTTCGAAAAAGGAAACCTTGTGAGGTTTAGCAAAGCGAAGTCATTTGAATTCTATAGTGCGGTATCGTATATGCAGCTCAGTCTCAAGTAAACTTACTACTCCCAGCCGTCAAGTGCATAAAGAGAAAATAACTTTCAAAAACCACTGCAACGTCGCGTCCAAGTTTTCGAAGTCTCGACCTTTGTTTCTGGACTCATTCCCAGACTCGAATTTCCTTTCGAACTTTCACATTACTAAACATCCCTACTAGCGCCGGCTGAACGGATTGGTGGCCATTTTCTAGAGTTTATTGATTGATGCGTCACTTTGGTTTGCTGTATACCTGTACCCCTGTGTCAATGTAGTTCAATCTTTGTTTGCTCATTCCCGTGTGACATTTGACACCTCTGAGTGGCTTGCAGGAGCATGCAGTGCAAGGGTTAGCTGATCTCCAAACACAGGTTGATCTAAACACACCCGTTTGCTCAAGCGATCTATATGCACTGCACAGTACTGTGCACATCAAGAAAATATACGAACTGTCATGTTTCTTTATACAAAGAGAAAGACCAAGGAAATACAAGTTACGCTATACTGTCCGCTAACACCACCAGTTACTAAACAATCAGCTCATGCGATAACATGGCATGACACTGACCGACGGTACTGACTTTCTACAACTAACTGGGGGGGGGGGGGGGGGGTAGGGACAACTAACTCCATCTGAGTCCATTCTTGTCATGTTTCTATTCGAACCCCCCCCCCCCCCCACACACACACACACCCTTTTCAAGATGCGCTACGTTTAGAAAATATAGGCGAACTTATGAGATGCTCCTTTAGCATCTACAAATTGTGCTTATTGTGCTGTATAACATGTGTCAAAATACAGATTGTAAGAAGAAAAGAAACTTACAACTTCTTTACCGTAAAAGTCCGTAAATAAGTACGTATTTACTTTCGAATTTAGTGACCACACCCGTACTAACTTTCGGGCCGGTACTGACTTTCGGGCACGAACTAACTTTCGGACTTGACTTGTGTGTAGTGGGGAAGTCATTTTCATGTCGGCGTACATGCTACGTGCTGCATGTGCGCATCGTACCGGTACTTATTTCGGGCAGTATGTTTATCGGGCTTGACTTGACTTCAACATACAGAGCCAAAAGAATGAAGGGGGTATTTCTTTCGGGCAGGTACTTATTTACGGACTTTTACGGTAGTCTTATAAGGCTGTCAAAGATTTTAGCCTGAAATCTCGTAAATTGGTTCCCATATAAACGCCTGAAAAAGCAAACAAAGTTGTCTGAATGTTGGTCCGACAAGGCGATCGTCATGCCTTGCATGTAACGCAAACCGCAACCAAACTTAGTCCAACTTTTACCACTGCTAAGAAAGTTTTGTAGCGAGCAGTAGATTATTATTAATGAAACAACAATCTGACACAAGTAACGAGATTGAGGTAGAACAGCAAACCTGGCATACATGTAGACAGTGACGGTCTGCATTTAAATATGAATCTTTGTAGCATGCGACTACCTACTACGTAGGTATCGGACAAAAAACTCTTTCTTCGTATATGGTTTGTTTTGGGCCTATTTTAGCAGAACATGTTAGAGAGGGTCCGAACAACATAATTGTTTTAGGAAAAAAGTGGTCGACCTGTGGAAAATCTTAGGTACACTGCATTCGGACATTTGTCCCGCCGCGCGGATTCTTCGAACAACGTAGCTGCCCTAGCCAGCTCTGAGAGTGCGTGAACCAGGGAGAGAGAGTCATAGCATTAGACTGTAATCCTTTCACGGAAGCGCGTCCGTTACTTGAGCTCCATCATATGTACTGAAGCCGCTCTAGTTCCCCTGTCGCTTTTAAAAGTGAAGTTGCTCAACTTTACACAGTGCGTAACCTCTCTAATGGCCCAGTTTTATGCTATGTTAAACTCAGATGCAGGGAAAATTGAATTCATGTAAAGTGGACGGGAAAAGAATGTTACGAGTTTTGACAAACTGTCACCCAATCCAATCGGACAGCATTCAGCGTGACAGAGACCAAGCTCACTGCAGACAAGGCCACCCAGGCGGAAGTCTCACTACCTGCATATGCCCCTCCCATTCGTCGAGACCGCATCGCTCATGGAGGAGGAGTTGCAGTCTGGATTAGGGACGGCATTGCCTTTCAGCACCTCAATGACATCGAGTGTGGTGATCACGAAATTGTCTGGGTGTCTGTCTCCACAGCCCCCCCCCCCCCCCCACACACACGAACACTGTCATTGGCGCTGTCTACAGGCCAGGCTCCTGTCTGGGCACTGACACCAAACTCTTAGAACACCTTGATGCAACTCTTGACAGAATTAGGCAGCATGGGTCGAAGATTATCCTCGCTGGCGACTTCAATGTGCATAGCGGCTTGTGGTTAGGAAGCAACAAAACTACTCCTGCAGGGGAATGTGCTGAGGATATGTGTGTTAGCCACGGCCTGGAACATTATGTTACGATGAAGACCCGGGGAGACAATATACTGGATCTGATTATGTCTGACTGTCTTTCTGATGCAACAGTCCGTTGCAAACCTCCCCTTGGCGCCTCGGACCATGTAACTCTGATAGCTGAATTTCCCGGAGAAGTGCCGGAGGAACCTCCCACGAAACGAGTAATCTGGCGCTACAACCAAGCGGACTGGCCTCGACTTTCTCATTTTTATCGCCAAGCTGACTGGACCACAGCCATCAGTCAATGTCCCAACCAATCATGTCACAATGTCACCAAGATCATTACACAAGGCATGAAGCCATTCATACCATCTCGTGAACTGGTAACCTGCCCGTCTGACCCTCCTTGGTGGACACCGGAGTGTTCAGCCAAGGTGAATGCGAAACAGGAAGCTTGGGAACACTCCCGCGCGACTCCATCTCCACAGCTACGACTGAAGGCCCTGGAGGCGACCTGGCGTTGCACTCACTATCTGCGCCAGGCGCAGGCAATACGCCTTGTCACGCTGAGAGACAAACTTTCACGTGGAAGCCTGTCTGATCGAGAGTGGTGGTCCTCGCTAAAGCAAGAAGGTGGTAGTGGGGGCAGCACAACCATACCAACTCTTGTTGACACTAACGGCGCCCGGGTTACAGCCAACTCCGAGAAAGCAGAGCGGTTTGGTACGTTCTTTTCGTCAAAGTGCAGCCTCGGAGCAGACGCCTTTCCAAACGATCTGCCACCTGTAACACCTCGCACCGAGTTTCGGCTTACTACCGTCCATTTCCGAATGGATACTGTCAGAAGAGAGCTCAGAAGACTGAATCCCATGAAAGCCACAGGCCCTGACGGGATTCCAGCAAGGGTGCTGAAGAATTGTGCCAACGAGCTCTGCTTGCCTGTCACCCGGCTGTTCTCCTTGTGCTTTCGGCAGCAAGTGCAACGGAGGCTGTGGAAGGTCGCCCAGGTTGTTCCGATTCACAAGAAGAAAGCTAGATCCGACTTGCGCAACTATCGCCCAGTGTCTCCACTCTGCATTCTCTCCAAGACAATGGAAACAATTGTCAACTGCTGTATCATGAACTTCTTCTCTAAGCACAGTGTAATCTCCTCTCGGCAATATAGCTTCCGGAAAGGACTTGGTACATCAGATCTGCTAACGAAGCTGCACAACGACTGGTCATCCACTGCGGCGAGCGGCGGCATGGTACATGTACTGGCCATCAACATCGCTGGGGCGTTTGACAAGGTTTCGCATCGAGGTGTCCTCCATAAAGCAGAGGCATGCGGCATCAGTGGTCCCCTCCTTGGCTGGCTCTCAAACTACCTCTGCTGCCGGCAACTACGTGCCGTAGTCGGAGGACAACAGTCATCGGAATACCCTGTGCTTGCTGGGGTCCCCCAAGGCAGCATCTTGGGTCCAACCCTGTTTCTCGTTTACGTAAATGACTGTGAGGAAGTAATACCGGATGGTACCTCTCTGGCTGTATACGCAGACGACACCACCGTCTACCAATGCATTGCGGCCACGTGCGACATCGCGGAGAGTGTGACCCAGCTTCAGCTTGCCGTGGACTCTATCGCCCGATGGGATGCTGAGTGGAAAATAACTTTCGAACCGACCAAATCCCAGGCGCTCACGATAGACTTTCACCGTCCGGCAACACCTCTTCCCCACGTACTGTTCAACGGTACCAGGGTGCCTGAAGCTGGCGAGATCAAGCTCCTCAGGGTTTTGTTCGACACCACGCTGCGATTCTCGGCCCACATACGCCAGGTTGCCACCAGGGCCCTCCAACGCCTCCACTTTCTCCGGACGGTGGCGCCACTTCTGACAGCACCTGGCCGTATTGCTGTTTACGACGGCTTCATACGGCCAACCATGGAGTACTGCTGCCTGGTCTGGATGGGGCTCCACTGGCCCGCCTGGACGCAGTACAACGCAGGGCACTAAAGCTGATAGGCCCTGGAGTCTCCTTACCAAGCCTGGAGCATAGGCGCAGGGTGGCGGCCCTGAGCTTCCTGTACAAGCTCTGCTTCCTTCCACCGGCGAGCCACTTGAAAGCGATTATGCCCAAACCACTCCAGCTGGCGGATGAAAACCACCACACCTGTCTCTCCGCCCAGCGACGCCAGTCACATGACTTTCCCTTGGCATGTAGCCTGCCTCGCCGTTCCCGCTCAACCATGGCCAAGGCGTTCCCCGCATGCGTGCTGAGCACATGGAACTCCCTGCCTCGGAGAATCCTCGCACAGCAGCCATACAAGGACGGGATGCTGCAGTTCAAGAAGATGGTCCACCTTCACCTGTTGTCCAGCAACTGGATGCAAGCAACCGACGCCTTGTAAACCTGCTGCATGAACTTGCTGAACTAAAGGCTCACATGCACATGTACTCTCTCTTTCTCAATCGACCCCCCCCCCCCACCCCCCCCCCTCCCACCCCCCACCCCCACCCTCACCCGCTCCCCCTGTTCTTTTTTCTTTCCCTCATACTTCCATTAAAAAATTTATCTCGTGCGCCCAGAGCTTGACGATGTCGAGACCAGTTGGTTGACGGAGTGCCAGGCCCCCACCACCATGCATGGCTGCTGCATGTTCCCATTGCTTGCACCACATGGCTTTTAGTAAAAAAATTATAATAAAAATTCAGTCTCATAGAGCGACAACAATTCACAAACATGCACATCATATCATGTTTTTCTCTCATGGTCGACTTTTTACTCTAGTGAATAGCAAATTATATATTCAAATCGTATCCATATGTCCTTTTCTCTTCTACATTTATTTATGGCTCAACATCCGAGTTTCAAATAATATATTCAAATGACCCATTGGTGTGCCTGTGTGGTATATTGCTTTCTCGTCTGCTACATTCACCTTACAATGCGTCTACAGTACGGGTACCACAAAATTACGGTGAAATCTGGCCAAAAGCGCTAAACTGCCGCCCCGGGACAGATCTGATCACATCACTATCAGTCTGTGCATGTATACGTCCAGCAGCATTCGCATCAAATCAGGCATGTCAAGGGCCATGCAAGTTGAGGGCGCCAAACATTCACTTTTGGAACATGAGCCCCAGCCAGCAGAAACCTGAACATGTGTAATTTTTTCAAAAATTATTTTTTCCCTCGAAATTGTTTCTACACTATTAATCATTCAAGTTATCAAGTTTGGTGACAATCTGATAAGCGAAAGCATGGAAAATAGAGTTTGAAGTCAGAGAGGTCAAGATTCGGTACAGTTGGCGCAGCATCCATGCCTAGTGATTCCATGCAAGTTGATCCTACAGTTTCTGATTGTGATGTGGAACAGGTACATGTAAGTAAATAGAATGCAAGTCAGGCTTGCCCTCTTGGTGCTGCAGCCTGTGCAGGCATGAGTAGTTCAGAAGTCACAGTGACGATATTCCGTATACATCACTACCTTCTTTACAACACCAGATTGCAAAACGATGATTGGTGGCTGGCCTTCCAAATTGTGTTCAGGGACCTCTGCGCTGGCAGTTTGGGCGTTGTCCCAAAGCTTGCCATACTGATAGATGTACTGATCAATACTACTGACATCCACTCCCTTGCACACTTTCACTCAGACCATGATTTCAGCATAATTGTATTTCAATGATATGAGCGAATGCTGGCATTTTGTAGCACGTGAACATGTTGCCCCAAAGCGTTCAGCCGGTTTGAGTTTTTAGGGATCCCCTTTCTCAACACAGGCAGCAGCCAGCTTGGTGTCGTCTGGCAAGGTAGAGTACTGAGAATACTACGCTCTGTTTTGCGCCGTGAGAAGCCCTCCATCAGTGTCTGCAACATCATTGTTGTCGATGTAGAAATACGGATCGCTCAGCGGGTCGACATTCAGCTTCTCCTCGCAGTCGCTATTTCTTCAGCACTGACTATCGTCGCCACCAGTATCCAGTGTCGATTTTATGAGGGCTCTTCGTTGCTATGCATATGACACTCGCCACTGCTGGACAAACTCAGCGAGATCGCCAACAAAGAAATAATTCCGATCGCGAACTAACTTTCAGCGCCGCTTCGTACAGGGAGTCTCACGCTGACAACTCTGGACCTAAGTATTTGTCGCGACACCTGTCGCCATCGCTGTGTCTAAACTCAACCTCCGTGTGACGAGCTCTCACCTAGCGCTAAAATCAATTGACCAGAGACATTTGAAGACACTTGAAACTCCTTTGACAACAAAGACACCCACTCGATCGAAAAGAATCTTCAAAAGCCAGCTCACTGCGCGTCCCAAACTTTGACGTCACATTTTGATGATTGATATCAAGTACACAAGTGATGGTTTTCGCTGGCCGGGGCTCACATATTTAACTGAGCGCTAAGGTATTGTTAGGTACCTCCTCCTGTACCTACAACCTTTCCTAAGCTGGCCGGCCTGCATGCACCCGTGCTATGTCATGCTTGCCTTTCGTTTCGTTGGCCTGGGTAGCTACTTGCGCGCCTATGTTTGCCCTAGGTACGCAGGCCCTTTATATTGCGTTGTTTCTCAGTCGAGCTCTCTCTCTCTTCAATAATCTCGCTCTCGTCAATAATCATAATGTAGTCGTAGTAGTTCGTCTTTGTCTCCGTCTCTTCGTCTACCCTTATAAATGTCGTTCCACCCACCTGTCCCGTCGTCCGTTATGTCTGGAGAATATTGGGTCTAATTCAAACTCAACATTGACGCTCAACATGGGGCTCGAACCCACGACCCTGAGGTTAAGAGTCTCAGGCTCTGCCGACTGAGATGTTGAAACTAGGTAACTGCGCCCTAGAAGATGGGGATTTGTATGCAAAATGTCACTAATAGCGCAATTTCGTTCTTAAAAAAGCATGGATGACCACGGTAGGCCCATATGTTGTAGTCTTTTGGACGCTGAGTCGACTGGTCTTGGTCCAAAAAGGCTGCGATGTAGCGTTCGGCCCTTATTCCCAATCGAACATGGCTGAACAAGGGGTCACGTGCGCGAGTTCGATTGGGAATAACGGAGGAAGGGAGCGTCTCAGCACCCCGAAGACTACACCTGGTGAAAATTTGTCAACACAGCACTGAGTTGACTGAGTTGAGTGCAGAATGTTTGGGGTTTGTGTTTCTTTCTTTTCTTCTTTCCTTTTTTTTACAACTTTTGGTGGCCCCTTTCTCTCTGATCCAGTGCCTGCACGCTACTCTGCCTGGCCGCAGCTCCAGTTTAACTTCGCCCTCTTGGCCAAGATAAGCTGTTTTGATGCAGCGAGGTATTAATCAGAATCACCAACCCGTCTCTCTCGAACTTCACTCGAAATCTAGCTGGACTTTTCAGGTACTAGTGAACTGAATTGCAAACCAAAATTGGGATAAAACGAGCTGGCAAATGAGCATTTGGCGACAAACAAAGCTGAAAGATAAGCCACCAAATTGATGACGCACACCAAGTAGAGTAAAGATTGACGAAGAGAAAGTGGTAGAAGACCAATTGACGCTCCCATGGATTGCTTAGCACAAATTTTGTGTCCGAGCCTCACAGAATAATTAGACTCACAGTTCTCTCAGATTTATCAGTTTGCCAAATATATTATCAGGAAGGGTCGTGAGTTGATTGCTTCTCAAATTCCTGCTTGAACAGAATAGCAATGTGCAGAAACATTACATGGGATTCACTAGTAAAGTAAAGCTATTTTAGGTCAAATTGATATATTGGAGCTCATCCCCTGCTTCTTCGTAGGTTTTAAGATTGTGTGAGTGCCACGAGGGCTGCTTCCTACCTGCCTGTGGAGATTCACCGGAATATTGAGTTTTGAAGTCTGATACTATAAGTGTCTTCGTTGAAAACCGACCTACAGTCCATTTCAAAAAGATTTTCAATCAGGTGTTGGTCTTAAAAAGTATGAAGATAAGGAAATTTTGGACAACAAAGTACCTAGAATGGCTTGTTAGGACATGGCAAATTGTTCTGTGAAGGTTTCGGAACTATTAGACTAGCCGTTAAGGAGTTAGAATTTCGGCCAGGTTTCCGGCCTTCCCATGGTTTACAATTTTCCTGGAAGCCAGTATCGATTTTTTATCAAAACCCACGATTTATCCTTTCCTTTTTGGCCTTGTGGTTATGAATGCTGTCTGCTGACCATGAAGTTGTGAGTTCAAATCCCACTATCTTCAAGTCAAACTTTTTTTCATTGTTATAGTGATCACGCTGGTAGATCTACAAAAGTACAAGCCAAAGAAGGTGGCTGCGACTTGTATTGTTGGAGCTTGCGTTTTCTGCCGAACTTACTGACATTTTAACTGGTTCACGCCATGTGAACACACCCACAACACTGAAACGGTGTGAGTGAACGGAAGTCATTGCGCTGTAGCTACGTGAAGAAGGAGCAAACCAAAAGCGGGTGAAGTGAGAGAAAAATAACAATCCGCAATAAACTCATATTCAAACTGATTGAAACGTTTTTGCAATACAATGATGTAGCCAATCAACAGAAAAAATACATTTCCATCAGTTCTAGGAACATGTACGATGAGCTAGGCAAAAAGCATAGCGTAGGGCCCTGAGCTTCCAAGCTCTCTCGTTATTATTTTAACTGTTTTGTGGGAAAGAGACAAATCTATTGTTATTTGTGAAAACAGCGAGGAGACAACAATTTGATAACAGCAATCAGTAATACAAGCTGGATCGACATTTGTGTACACTTTATTCATGTAATGTAAAACCGTGGAGACAATGTGCAATAAAACGATGAAAATGTGAAGAAACGGTGTAGAGAAAGTAAAGTGTACACAAATGTCGATCCAGCTCCTATTATTATTACCGTAAAGTACCGCCAGAGCGCCCCACCATCTCGTCCTTTCGTGGTCGTCTTGTGGAGGTGGTTCCTGTCTGTAGGTCATACGACACGGACCTTGTACACACATTGTAGTCAATCCGTATCCAATTTACCTTCAAGCGGATGCGAGCTCCACATAAAAACATGCCAAGTGTGACCTTAGTACACGAAGGTTCTCGCACCGTACAAACTTAGCAGCATTCTGCCATACGATTGTCTTCCCTTGGCTGTAAAGTCAAGGTGGGGCGCTCTGGCGAGACGGGGCGCTCTGGCGGTACTTTACGGTATTATTACTATTATTATTATTAAACTCAATCTCGTAGCATGTGCACGCATTGCTAATGTGGGGAGCAACCCCAGAGATGAGGGCGATAACCAGCCATGGTAAAAGTACAAAGGAAAACAAGAAAAAAGTGGAAAGAAAGGAACAGGGAGGAAAACAAAGATCAGCCAATTAAGTGAGATAGTCGGGCATTGCATTGTTTAGCTAAACGCGCATGAGTGCTGCAGGAAAACGCAACTCAGTACAAACAACCTGGCGAAACTGAGACATGCTGTGGCAGTGGTGGGTGAGGCTTGATAGCTTGAGCCAGTCAGAATAGGAATGAAACAGGGGATTTTGTAAACTGGACAGTGCGAGCTGCACGTAGCGAGACTTGTGCCCTTGTTGAACGGCTCCGCACAAACCAGTCATAGGGAAAGAGATGTCGTGGTACTTTTTTTTGGTAGTTTTATCTTTTGAATTAGCATGTTGATGTGGAGACTGCGTCGAATAGAAAGGGGGCAAACATGAGCGAGAACATAGAGTTGTGCAGAGGAGAAATCACGGGCATGCAAAATAGCATTTTTTATAATTTTCGTTGGCAAACTTCGAGCTTGTCTGATATCGTGGTTGATAACCCACACCGCGCTATGTCACAGTAGTCGAAGATCGGACAAATATACAAAGAGAAAAACAGAGATTTACGGTCGTGAGGCAGGTAACGACAGTGAGGCTTCAGAGTTCCTAAAATTCTGGATGCTTTAAGGCAAATATGGTCAGCATGTTGGGACGATGATAGCTTCGAGTCAAGAACGATTCCCAGGTGCCTGTGAGAAGTTACAACTTCCAGGGCCTGGGTGCAGTTCCGAAACGCCAAAGGCGCAGATGGTGGACGTGCAGAAATATACAACACTTTGGTCTTCAGGACATTGGGCTGTAGCTTCTAGATCTTTATCCAGTTTACCACGTCATTGATGCCCTGCAGGAGCGATACCGTTAGTTTGTGCTCGGTGGAGGCTGAGCGGTGAAGGTCGGTGTCATCTGCATAAAGCGAGAGGCCAGGAGTAACGGATGTCAAATCATTCACGTACATCAAGAAAAGCAGGGGGCCAAGAATAGGCCCTTGTGGAACACCTGTATTAACTGGACGATCCTCCGAAATCAGGCCGCCTGCTTTCATGGCTTGGGTTCGCATGCTCAGGTATGACGACAACCAGTTGTTGGCGAGGTGGGCGACACGGTAGCACGATCATAGTTTTGCGATCAGCCCTCTATGCCATACCGAATCGAATGCTTTAGCCAAGTCGAAGAAGCAGAGACCTTGATGGCGCCTTTGGTGTCGCTGAGTGTACAGCTCCTGGACAATGCGGGTCAGATACCGTTGGGTCCAAATAAGAAGCAAGCAACTTCGGAGCTATATATTTGTACAGACGAGAGTGGACTATTTTTCTTGTGTTTTTGATATTATACTGAGCAGGGAGATGGGTCGGTAGTTGGTAGGATGGGAGGGGTTGCCCGACTTGGGGATGGGTGTAATGGTTGCGTGTTTCCAATCCTGTGGTGTTTCTCCGGTTCTGAAGGACAGATTGTAGAGACTATTGGGAGATGGGGAGATTTCCTTTGCAGTTTCCTCCAGGAGCCAATCTGGGATGTTGTCAAAGCCTGAGCTCTTGCCAGTGTCTAGACTGCTTAGAAGCTTCTCGACCTCTTGCACTGTTGCTGCGATTGTATTTAGAGTAGGGGTAGTGTTGATGTCAGGGGTAGTGTTGATGTCAGGGGTAGTTTTGATGTCAGGGGTAGTGTTGATGTCAGGGGTAGTGTTGATGTCAGGGGTAGCGTTGATGTCAGGGGTAGTGTTGATGTCAGGGGTAGTGTTGATGTCAGGGGTAGTGTTGATGTCAGGGGTAGTGTTGATGTCAGGGGTAGTGTTGATGTCAGGGGTAGTGTTGATGTCAGGGGTAGTGTTGATGTCAGGGGTAGCGTTGATGTCAGGGGTAGTGTTGATGTCAGGGGTAGTGTTGATGTCAGGGGTAGTGTTGATGTCAGGGGTAGTGTTGATGTCAGGGGTAGTGTTGATGTCAGGGGTAGTGTTGATGTCAGGGGTAGTGTTGATGTCAGGGGTAGTGTTGATGTCAGGGGTAGTGTTGATGTCAGGGGTAGTGTTGATGTCAGGGGTAGTGTTGATGTCAGGGGTAGTGTTTAGTGTTGAAACGATCTCACCGGATACTCGTTAGCTCGCTCGCCAGAAACTCGGCTCGTTTGTGCGGCCAGCTCGTTTGCACTAACGAACACCGTACACCGTACTCCGTACACATGGCAGTACATGTCGACCGGGGAGTCATAAAATATTTTACGACTCCCTGGTCGATCGAGAGTCCAGTCCCGCGCAAAGTGAAAATCACTCGCAGTTACAGGTGACTGTATGCCTGCACGACACTTGAGTTGTTTCAGTTGTCGTTGTAGCTTTGGTGGACTCTACTGATGTCTTGTTCCGCATCTGCTGACCTGTCGCAGGATATGCTTCGGTCGCCTCTCCATTCGAGTGAAAGTTACGCTCAGTCGTTTGGAAGTTTTCTCCCGCGATGCAGCGAAGACCAGGGCTACTTGCAATCTTTGCAAAACGGTCTATTCTTACAAAGGCTAATCGACGACGGCGCTGAAAAGACATCTCGACACCAAACAGCAGTCCGAAGTGAAGCAGCAGCAACCCCAAATGCCGGCGGTGATAATTCATGTAATTTGAACCAGCTGAAAAAATCGAACTCAGAAAAAAAAATATTCAAAAAAATAATCATATTTGCCACATCAATGAAACTCGTTAGCTCGCTCGATAGCTTGCTCGTTAGTGGAACTGATCGCTCGTTTGTTATAGATACGCTCGTTTCAACACTGACAAAAATGGTTATACCGCGCGAAATCAAAGCTCTTCTCGTGGCAACAGCGTACTAAAAATAGCGTGCATCTTGCTAAAGGTCGAACCCAAATCACGGTATTTTCCCCCTCACGATAATACCGTTACAACATTACGTTTTTTGCTAAGGGTGTCTAATGACAAAGAATAGCTGATGAGTGCGGAGAAATGATCGACATATTCGCAGCTGCATCCTGCGTGGAATCGTTCCGCAATCTTGTCTTCCATTTCTTCCTGCGCACCTGAAGACACGACATCGCTGCCGTCACTAGCCCCAGACTCAGAATTTAGCTCAGGTGACGACTCCTCATCTTCCGACTCTGACGAGTCATCGGCCACTTTGAGCCGCATCGCAGCAGGAGATGGCAGCTACGAGTCCGCCTCGCTGTCGACATCAATGTCGGAATCAAAGAACGTTTCATCCTCTTTCTGAACTTCAGCGGCTACTTCAGCATCTACTCCCCACCAGGCTCGAGCTAGCTGTACACAATGACTGTCGTGTGTGCTCTGCAAACAGCTCTGGCGTCCGCAGCCATCGCAACAAGATCAAGGAACACTGGAGTCGCCACTCGACACAACTTCAACTTCAAAATAAATTACCTCAAGCAAGGAGTTCAAAAAGTCGCAGCGCGATTCGCAGCGCGATCACAAAATCGTTGAACGTCACAATTTGACCTTTCTCTCGAAAAAATCACGAAATCTCTAAGGGTCGTTTTCGTTGATTGCGGCTCATATACATAATAATACGTATATTATACGTACTCCAGAGAGGATTGGTGTAGGTTGTAGCTGAGTGGGCTATGAGTTCCGGTAGTGGCAATCGATATTTTCGGTGTGTTTAACCGCGTCTCTCACGCCGGCCTCCTCAACAAGGCAGAGCAAGTAGGTACCGGTATCAGCGAAACTCTTCTCTCTGGTCTACGCGACTCCCTGAGTACTGTATTCATGACTAAAACTAAAAGAAGAAAAGGTTGGTTCGACTTACAACCTGGATTCGACTTATAACCGGGAACTATCAGTATCTTACAAACTAATGACCTGCACTGCATGCACGAGTGCACCAAGTGTACACATTTTTTTCCAGTTGATTGGCCTTTTTCAAGGATTGGGACTTTATACCTTCCAATAAGGAACGTTGCCATGATTTGTTGGTGTGTTAGTAGCAGGGAGTGGGTAGTAATATTAGTGCTTCTTTAGGTGAAATCTTTAAAAATGAGAATTGAGACCTCTGGATAAGTGGGTCACCCTATAACCGGGGTCGCCTTACAACTGGTAAAACACGGCAACCGCTGCGTAAAGGTGGTAACTGGAGGCAACGCTTCCAGCAAGTACCAATTACTGCTGGAGTGCCCCAATGCAGCGTCCTGGGGCCCACATTCTCCATAATTATTGTTTTCTGCTGACATCAACCAATGCTTCTCATATGGCGTAAAGCTCAGCTCAGCTCAGTCGACTTTTCAGGTATTAGTGACCTGAATTGCTAACCAACATTGGGATGGAGCGGGCTGGCGGGTGAGCGTTTGCGACATAAAAAGCTGCAAGATAAGCGACATAATTGATGACCCAGACCAATAAGAGCAAAAACTGCTGAAGAGAACAGTCGCAGAAGACTAATTCACGCTCCCATGGATTGCTTAGCACAAAATTTGCGCCCGAGCTTCTCAGAATAGTTGAACTCACAGTAGGTTAAGGCTTATTAGTTCATCAAATACATTATCAGGAAGGCTCGTGAGTTTATTGGATCCTAAGTACCTGCATAAAGAGACCATAAAATGTGCAGAAACATTACATGGCAATCACCAGCAAAGTAAAGCTATTTTAGGTCTAATTGATACATTGGACCTCTTCGCCTGCTAGTTCGTATATTAAGATTGTGTGAGTGCCATGAGGGCTGCTTCCAACCTGCCTTTCACAGGAATCATGAGCTTTGAAGCCTGATACTACAGTCTTCGGTCAAAACCGACCTAGAGTGCTTATCTGGCGCTCTCAATTTGCACAGCCCTTGTTACCTTGGAAGTGGCACTTATGCGTTAGGACCTACGCAAATCCAAACCAGGCAAAAACCATCAGAAGTCACTTACAAATCTTGGAGTTGATTCGTTTGATTTGGGAAAGCAGACGGATTTATCGCTTCTAAACCAACGTTATGCAGAATTCTAACAACAGGAAAAGCATAGAGTGGAGCAGCGTTTGGAAAAATTACCGTATTTCCCCGTAAGTTAGTTCTCCCCAATGTCTTAGTACCCCGTATAAAAAATACACTTTCCACTGCCGAGGTTATCACCCCGAAAGACAGTTCCCCCCGAAAGATAGTAAGTTCGTACCCGTCCTACATGTACAGACACCATACAGTACATACATCATATGCACGGACACTAGAGTTGCGCAGGCTTCCCACTGCGTGTCATTTACCCCCGATAAAAAAGTACTCCCCGAAAGATAGTACCACCCCCGAAAGTTAGTACTCCAGTGGCTGCTAAGTTCGAAAGTTAGTACGTACTAACTTACGGGGAAATACGGTAGTGGAAAGTCTTTTTTATTTCCGTAGCTAGACTTCAGTAATGTGTGGCGCTAGCCTAGCCAGGGTCCACACATCTTTAATTCCGTGTTTGTGTGCGTGTTTGTGCCGTGTATGCCTGGCGCTATCCCATACCTGTCCCGTACCGTACCATCAAAGACAGCTAGCCACAGCATCCAAAAGGGCTCTCAAACGCAAGATCATTACGTGAAGAAACTTGGAAGAATGTGTATGTATGCGAAGTGTATCGGGGGAATGCATGCAGGGCGATAGTGCGAGTTCGAATCCTAGGTTATGTCTTAAAAAAGTGGAGAAATGAAAAAATTATAACATCCCTATGCTTTTTTTGCCCAGGTCATCAAGGTGGTAGACGGTGTCGTATTACCCTCGAATACAAAGATAAAGTTTATGTCTTTCGCTCAGGGCCCTACGCTATGCTTTGTTGCCTAGGTCACCATGCATGTTATTCGAACAGATGGAAACATTTTGCAATACAATGATGTAGCATCAGTTGTTTGTGGTACGGTTGGGCATTGTCGCCGTCATGGTCGACGTAAAACACTATTTACATATACAAGCACGGGGAGCAAAAGTCTCTCTGTCCCATAAGCTGCCACATACCAACTAAATACAAACTTACATGTGGGAAAAGCTTTTATGGGTAGAGTGACTCTACTGTACTCTACCAGGTAACTAAAAATGAACGCAGCCTAAGTACCCCGTCGGCATGGTGACGAGATGACTGTTGTATGCATGAACATGTGACGCTTATTCAACCATGTTCGATTGGCAATATAGCTGTGTTCACAACTGCACTTGGACGAGGTACGCTTGCTGTTCATGCGTGCCCAAATGTGTGCTCTGGCTTTCACAAAAAAAACCCAGAATTTCAGTCGTATTTAGGGCGTGCGACGCATTCGAGTACTAATTTATTGACCACGCCGGTCAAAGTGACTGGCAGGTTTGCCGATGCGCGCCTGATACAAGTTGAAAAATACGACCGGTTGGATTTTCCAACTTCGGCGCGTTTCCATACGCATGACGCCCCAAAAGCCAGCAAAATATGCACAGACGCGTGGTTTTAGGAGAACACGCGCCAGTTGTCAACACAGCTTAAGGGCCGAACGCCACATCACAGCATTCTCTGACGAAAACGAGTCGATTCAGCGGTCATCCGTGCTTTTACTGTTTCCACAGAATAACAGCTCTTCCGATCAGCCGGGGACCTTCACTATTGGAATCAGTGCATTTTTTTAACTGATCTTCAACTCTCCTAAAATAGATAACAAAACCCACGTCACGAACTTACGTGCGGGACAGTCAACTCACGTAAAACACGTCAAATTTTACGTGAGGTTTTTGAATTTTTGACGTAAAGGTTCACGGACGCAAGAATTTTACGTGAACTTAACCTATCTTTTGTAGTACATTTTCAACATCATGTACTATTTTTTGTACATTCCCTTGTATAACACGGGTTTTATGCAAAATCTCTCGAAAACGCAGATGAAAGCCAATAACGCGGAAAATGGTGCGTCCACTGTATCCTGTTTGAAAAGCCTCCCGACCAAATTATTTCATTTTTTAAGGTCTGGTAAATGTGCTGCATGTACTGCAATTTACGCATATGAGGCTTCTAATCAACGTTTATTTCATTATTTATTCTTTTTTTACTAGGGAATTCCCAACAGGCATCAGCACCTTTTTACAGGAACCCTAGGTATAATTTGATGGGTGAGCGAAATTCAGCTGGTGAACTAGACATGCGGCAAGCCGGTGGAAGTTTATTCCACCTGGCAGCGCCCAAATAAAAAATGCACTAAAGCCATATCGGGTGTTTAGCGGGGGTGGGGGGGGGGGAGGGGGGTGTGGGGGGGGGGGGGGGCAGAACAAGAGCAGCAGAGGCTTGGCCACGGGTGATGGCTGCAGTGTGAGCACCATGGGCGCGCAAGGTAAAGTGGTCGCGCAGAAGAGGACTAACAAGTCCATTCAGGCAGCGGTAAACAAATACATAGGTTTTGAAGTTGAGGCGTTTCTCAAGGGCGTACAAGTTAGTATGACTGTATAGAAGAGTGGTGGGAGTCATTCTATCCAACGAAAATACTCTCTTTAATGCTACGCGGCTAGCAGTAAGAAGCTTGTCATATAGGGCTTGTGATAAGCAATGAACATATGCAGTGCTGCCAAACTCAAATGTAGACTGAATGATCGATAAATAGAAAAGTCGTTTGCCAAAAATGCTGATATTCTACTTTACACGGACAAATGCCTTCCTATTGACATTTGCACATACTGCATGCACTTGGGTTGAGAAAGACAGATGTTCATCAACCAGTATTCCTAAGTACCGAGCGTAAGCAGATGGGACTATGGAAGTGTCCAGGCAGTTGACGGCGGTGCCAGGTGGCAAGTCCGGGCCCGGTCGCCGGAGCAGGACAGCGTGGCTAAAGACCTTGGAGCAGAGTGTGCAGATTGAATTACACATGTAGGTTCCATAGGCTTGAAAAGTGAAAGAGATTATTTGCTGCCTGATTCTTTTTGTTGCCTTACGTGGGTTGTTTCGCTTTTCCTCATTTGCATCCTCAAAATTGGGGAGGTTTCGCTTTAGGTAATAACGTATGAAAAGCCGTATGTTCTAGGGGTGGGGGAGCGAGGGCAACTTTCATACGTAAATCTCTCAACGGATTTCGTAGGAAAGATCTTTCCTATGCTGGGTCCTCCGTAGGCCATTTTGAAATATTTTTCGCATTTTCCAGATATATCCATGGCAATGTTCAAGCCGCGCGCAAAAAAAGGTACACACACCATACACCAGTGAAAATAAAATGGAAAGCGCCGATTCTTACGTATGAAAATTACATGCAGTTCCTACTTCCTCCGCGTCATCGAAATTGTCGCAGTTTGACTTTTGACATAAAACGGGGTATTTACTCACCAGCACTCGTACCAGAGGCAAGGAATTGGGCATAGGCGATAGTCATCAATATAGGGTGACGGCAAAGTTCTATTTTCTGTTATTGGAAGCTGAAATCTTTGAATTAGACGCGATTTCTTCGCTGATGTCGCTGCGATGGTAATTTCGACTCGTTGAGATCAGTCAGGCGTTGCAGCCCGCACATTTCTCGTGCTTATGTCCATTCACTCAAGTCTCATCACTATTTTACCTTAGCTGGGGTGAGAATGACTTCGTGGAACAAGTAGCAACGAGGCTGCCAAGATATACGAAGGAGGGCACACGTTCAACTTCCTCACCTGCAATAACCAGGGGCTCATATACGTCGGCAGCCATACCACAACTCACGAATTTGGTCTTTGAGAAGTTGATGGTCAACCGAAAGGCAGAAGATATTCGATGAAAGGTCTCCAATGCCAGCTGTGCGGCAGCCAGAGTCGGAGCAAACAAGACGGCATCATCAGCAAACTCAACATCTAACACGGTGGTGGATTAATGACGGGTGCGTGGCCGATTAAAAAGGTTTCCGTTTACACGGTGATTGAACGTGAAACCGCCACCAGGAAGGATCCGGGCCATTTCAGCATTCCATTGCTCAAACATAAGGCTGAAATACAGGTTGAACAATACTGGGGAGATGGAGCACCCTGCCGGAGGCCATGCACACACACACACACACACACACACACACACACACACACACACACACACACACACACACATAATATGTACATACACACATACCCACACCGACACACCCACCCACACACTTACCCAGACACATGTGCAGCCTCTGGTGGCAGCGCAAGCATGTGTCAGAAAGGTCCAGGCTCAAGCTGTACAGCTCGCTTGTGCTGCCTGCCCTCCTTTACTATTGTGAGACTTGGAGAGTACCCCGGGCAGTCTTTCAGCGACTGGACTGTTTTTACCGCCGACAGCTCAGAAACCTGTTGGGAGTGCGATATCCAGACAGAATTACAAATGATCATCTGTATTCCAGATGGGGCTCGCAGCCACTGTCGGAGCTTGATGCCAAGCGACGCCGTAGCCTCACTGGCCATGTGCTGAGGATGAGTGAGCAGTCACCCCCTTGCCTTGCGATGTCCTGCTATTATCAAGCGGGATCACGTGCCATCCCGCAGCTACTCTCCCTACCACCATCATGAAGCACCTGGCAGGGCACGACATCCCTTTGAAGAATTCCAGCGACCTAGAAGGAGCACGAGCATTTGCTGAAGACAAGTCGAAATGGAGATCAGACATTGTTTATGGATGAGTTTTTGTTGACTGGAGACAGAAGCGGACTTGGCTTAATTTCAGTGTATTCTCATACAGCAAAAGCACGATCAACACGCTCCGACTGTACCTAACGAACGCCTTTGGCATAGCCTCTAAATTTGGTGACTTCCGCCATGCTCTCGCACTCCACTCTCCCGACATCGCTATCGTTACCGAAACCAAGCTCACGGTGGAAAAAATGTCACAAGCCGAGACTGCCATCCCTGGCTATGGCCCTCCAATGCGGTTGGATAGGACGGCTCAAGGAGGTGGTGTCGCTGTCTGGGTGCGCAACGTCCTAGCGGGTTTTGAGCTTGACATGGTTCCCCGTGACAACCAGGAGATCATATGGTTCACCGTCCGTCTGCGATGTGGTCGAACAGCTGTTGTTGCTGCCCTGTACAGGC